CCTCACATTTAGATGTGAAAAAGATCACTATGGGAATAGAATAAATGTCTATTTGAAAAAAATGTATAGACCTGTATCTCCGTACGTCAACTGAGCCCATTTCTTGGCAGTGATGCTTTAAGACTTTGCTTATCTTACTATAGAATGCTGATGATAATTGGAACCTATCTGCTGCCTGGCACAAAACACAGTTAAAATCACCTCCTATTAAAAGAACACCTGTGACTTTTTTCAGAATAAGATTAAAGACTTCATAAATAAGGGTCATCCTCATTAGGTGCATATACACCAATCAGGCATAACATTATGACCTCCTCCTTGTTTCTACACTCATTGTCCATTTTATCAGCTCCACTTACTATATAGGTGCACTTTGTAGTTCTACAGTTACAGACTGTAGTCCATCTGTTTCTCTGCATACTTTGTTAGCCCCCTGTTCTTCAGTGGTCAGGACCCCCATGGACCCTCACAGAGCAGGTACTCTTTGGGTGGTGGATCATTCTCAGCACTGCAGTAACACTGACGTGGTGGTGGTGCGTTAGGGTGTGTTGCGCTGGTCTGAGTGGATCAGACACAGCAGTGCTGCTGGACTGAGAATAGTCCACCAACCAAAAACATCCAGCCAACAGCGTCCTGTGACCACTGATGAAGGACTAGAGGATGACCAACACAAACTGTGCTGCAGCAGATGAGCTATCGTCTCTGACTTTACATCTACAAGGTGGACTGACAAGGTAGGAGTGTCTAATAGAGTGGACAGTGAGTGGACACAGTGTTTAAAAACTCCAGCAGCACTGCTGTGTCTGGGAGCTGATAAAATGGACAGTGAGTGTAGAAACAAGGAGGTGGTCATAATGTTATGCCTGATCGGTGAATGTTACATAAAGATGCACTGACACCATCCATAACTCCATTCACTAAAATGTACCTGCCTTCTGAATCTTTGTAAGGTGAGGTAGCAGTGAAAGTTAACATTCTATTTATTAATTATCCTTCCAGAGTTATTTCCTTCCGGAGTTATAGGAGGAGAAGAAAAGATGATGATGATCCCTTTCAAGCCACTCATCTTCAGACAGCTTTATAATACCCAGTATTATTATAGCTTTGTAATACCCAGGCGTCGCACACCCTCAACGGCTCCCCAGGCAGAATTGAAAAACCTTTGTTTCTCCATCGCCATGTGCTTTTAAAATGGCTGGATACGGTATTTAATGTTTGTAGCCCAGAGCTGCCTTTTAATGTCTGCGTACTCATGTCTTTGCTTCTGCAGCACTGATGAATAGAAATGGTCCATGAGTGCGTATACATGCACTCAATAATCCCATCATAATTGGATTTCTGCAGTTATCCGATTGTTCAAATGGTCATATAAACACTATACTCCAATCTAGAAATCCGATTAAGAAATCTGATAAAGAGAGCTGGATTTTAGCTGAGTAATCAGATTTCTCAGTGCATGTGAATTCTTACTCTGATTTCTATCGGATGTCTGCGCATGTGCGAGACCAGACGGTGGACGCGAGATGGCAGCAAAACACTGATGGAGCGGCACTGAAACCAAACGCGAAATAAAGGATTTAAATATTTTTCATCTCCAAGATGATGTATGTTCATATTTTCAGGTAAAGCAGCACGATGTAAAAAAAAAAAAAAAAAAACGCGGCATAGAGTTTTACGTTACGTTACGTCACGTCTTCTTCTGTGAGTTTATTGGCTGGTTGCAAAGCAGAAATCCAATTATTGCCTGACTCATGTAAACCCAGAGTTTCCCCATTATCTGACTACTCGAGCATGTAAACGTGTTGATCGGATCACTGACAAAATCTTTTCTGTAGTTATCGGATTATTGAGAGCATGTATACGCACGTATATGTATATTTCGACTTCTCCTCATCAGATGTTTTCTGTTTCTCTGTCGTTCTTGTACTATGACTTATGGCGGTTTTCTTGTACTCTTCTTATGCAGCTTGCATGCAAAGCAGAGAGTGCAACCAATGTCTGAGACTGAACTTTAGAGGTGTGAAAAAGTGCAGATTTCTCCTGAAAAAAACTCAAGAGTGAGAAATATATATCTGGACCCACTCAAGGGTCCTTTTTGGGTGTTTTCAGAGTTTTAAGGAATAAGGGTGAAATTACATGTTTCATTAATTTCTAAGTGTATGTAAGTGTAAGTATGAGACTATTTCAGAGATTAATAAAGGTGCATTTTGGTCAGGCTAGCAGGACAGTTGATATAGAACTATGAGACTATTTTGGAGATTAATAAAGCTGTGTTCAGTTCTGGTTAGCAAGACAATTAGTGTAGAAAGTATAAGATTATTCTGAAGCGTAATGAGTCTGTGTTTTGGTCTGGTTTGCAGGATGGTTGATGTGGAACTGTGGGATTATTTTGAGGATTAAGAAAGGTGTGTTCGGGTCTGTGTAGCAGGAGAGTTAATGTAGAACTACAACATTATTTTGGAGATTAATAAGTCTGTTTAAGTCGGGTTAGTAGGACAGTTAGTGTAGAACTATAAGATTATTTTGGAAATTATTAAAACATTGTTTTGGTCTGGTTATCAGGAGCGTTAGTGTAGAACTATGAGATTATTTTGGAGTTTAAGAAAGCATTGTTTTGGTCTGGTTAGCATGACAGTTGATGTGGAACTAAGATTATTTTGGAGATAAAGAAAGCATTGTTTTGGTCTGGTTAGCAGGACAGTTAGTATAGAACTATGATCTTATTTTGGAGAGTAATAAGTCTATGTTTTGGTCTGGTTAGCAGGACAGTTGATGTGGAACTATGGGATTATTTTAGAGATTTTACAGATCATCTCTATTTAGAAAACATTATTTGATCGTTCTGAATACTGTATTTGGTTGCATCCCTACTGTTTGGAAGAAAATATATTACATCCACCTTACATCTCTGTCCATTCTTATATCTCATACTGTATTAGTGGAAAAAGCTGTCTTGCCTTCTTCACTAAAACATCTACGTTGTGACTCACCATAAATTCAGGCTGCGGCGTTGAAATGTAAAGGGGAAGTAGGAAATGGTTGAAAGACTGCCACTCCCGCAAGTTCGCAGACAGCTCCAAATGCCAAATGTCTTAAATCTGTCAAATTGATGGAAGAAGCCCGAGCCTCGCATGCTAAGAGTCATGAGTGACAGTAGGAGCAGGACATCAGCTGTGTGAGAGGGCAGGAGAACGATGACAGCCACGAGAGGCATAAAGGCGGCTGGTGTCCTCATCCCGCTGTCACTCACAGCCCTCGGCGGTGTTCAGCGTTCAGGTCCTGCATTCCCGCCGCCTCTTGCGGCTGTCATTGAGGCCCGAGGACAGGCACAAGGTACACCTTGCTTTTCCAAAACAGCAGACAGTAACAGGTGCTGTGAGGTTTTCTTCATGACAATGTTCATCATTCTGTATTTACTGTAAACCACGTGTGTCAGGCTTCAGTCCTTGTGGTCCAAAACACAGACCTCAGCACACTGCCTCATTAAACACACCTGATTCAGCTCATCAGCTCATTAGCAAGGCTCTCATGAGATAAATTCAGAAGAAGGTGAACGCTAATCTCAGCCGCACTGTGGCCTGGAAGATCCCCGGTTTGACACGCCTGCTGTAAACTGTGGTAAATGTAATGCTGGAGGAGCTGTAGTTAAATCGTCTCACATGGCTAAATGAAAGTAAGTTGTGACTTGACAAAGCTAGAAAAACAGTTTAGCTTATTCCTTCAAGTCATGAATGGCTGTGAATCTATATGAATTTAGAACATGTGCTCCGCAGTTTTGCTGATCTTCAAAAAAGGATCCACCTACATCACACTCTTTTTTTTTTTTTTCCCGTAAAAACAGTGTTCTGTGTCACAAATAAAGCTACTAACTTTGAATAGTACTTCAAATAAGCTAAACATTTACAAAATCATCATTATAGGGTATTTTCTATTGGGAGAAGAACACCTAAATTTACAGTTGTGAAAATAATAATAACTAATATTTTTAAAATGTTATTTTTAAAGATCTTTTTGATTTCTTTTAAAGTTGAAAGAGTTGGACACATCATGAGTTAAATTTTCAAATAAAAAGAACTTTACTCAGAAAATGTTGTCCATGATTTCATGTCGAGTTTTAATCTGGAGGCGGAGCCTTATTTTAGCCACACCCCTGCATTTTAGAGCAGGAAGTGAGACTGCATCTCTGTCCCTCATGGCCACATGATGATCAGTTAGATCCCATTGTTTTGAAGTAAATGTGTCCCAAAGTCTAAAAGTCAGAATTGTCACTAGAGAAGCATAATTTGCCTGCAATTAAGTAAACTTTCTTGTGTTTCAATGAAAGATGTCATGATTTTATGTGTGTACAGCTGTCCAACGCTGTATTTGCTAGTCATATTCTGGCTAGTGTTTTTTGACTTATTCTCAAAATGAGCTGAAATCGTCACAACCGAAACAGTCACTACTGAAAAAGTCGCTACTGAAGCATTTGGTTATGTTTTGGAGGCGTTATTTTTGTATGGGTAGCTACTAAATACACATAAAAGTAATTATTTCTTGTTTTAATAGGTTGTGTGTTCCTCTTCTTTTTGTGCTGGGTTGTGCCAAGTGATTGCAGGTAATCACAAAAATCCGCTGGATTGTGAGATATTTTAATTAAACTTTATTTACAATGATCCACCCCATTTGGGCTTTTTGTCGACATAAGAAACACATTTTAACTATGTAACATCTACACTCATATAAGCACACAGTCAGTGTTCATGAATAATTCTTCAGTTATCACAAACTAATAACTGGGAAATGTGCATGTTTTAAAATGTAGCATTTTCCTGCTTTAAAATCATTTTACCCAAAGTATGCAATAACTCCACAAGCAGAAGAAATCCCAGAAACTCTGTCTTTGAAGAAAAATTTAAAAAGGCTTTATGAACACATGGCACCACATGGACCATCTGTTGATGAAAAAAATGAACTTTGAAGAGCAACCACACCAAACAAATAGCATTTAAAAAGCTGCTGGATGTGGGTCACAGGCAAAACCTGTATTTTCTGTCAGTGATGTAGGGGTCTCAAACTCAAATGACCTGGGGTCTTCTTCAAGGGGGTAGTGAGGGAAAAAAGTGTACTACAATTCATTTGAATTTTAACTACAAAACATATACACTCATTTAAGTTCATCTTTGCCACGCTACTTATACTACTAGTAGTACTTAATAATAATGATAATAATAATCCTAAAATAGCATTGAGCGCTGAGACTCTTACTGAGCCCTGCTTGGCAAGAGTGAAGTTCCTACGAGTGAAGTGTTGGGAAAATGGTCAAATCTGCCTTCTCAGTGGATTTGTTTGATGGTTGCATTTATTTTTTGACACACCATGTCCATCTCAGCATATTTTAGCACATTTTTAATCTCCTAACACAGTAATGCTATTCTTTTAATTTGAACAAACAATCTTACATATTGTAAATTCTGGTTAAATTTGAACAGATCAACTTTTGTCTGAAACTCACTAGCAGAGTGGGTGGGTTCAAAAGAAAGCCTGAAAGCTGGGAAAATAACATTTTTTGAAAATTTGTTCCATGCTGTCAAATGACCATGAGCACTGTCTTCTGGGTCACCGAATCAACCACTCATGGACTTTTCTTCTGAAAGCGTAACAGTTTCATTCTCACAGTGCTCGGCACGCCTTTCTTCCTCAGCTCTTCCTGGAACTGAACAAACAAAGAGAGGAGAATGGGATCAGGAATGAGATCTTAAAAGGAGATTTTCAAAAAAAACTGAATGATTCAGTCACTGAGATATAAACAGAGGCATTCAGAGTGGTTTGATGTGAAATTGTTCTCTGTAGAGAAACTTACTGACTCTGATTTCTTTACATTGGTGGTGATAGGAACCAGCAGTTACTATGTCTACAGTCATTTTGTTTACTATCCAAAACCACCAGTGAACTTGCATGTGTCTCCTGAGTTTTATATGTAATGTTGATGATGGTGAAATAGTCATAAATCTGAAAAAATAAGTTTTCTTTGGGGACTGTTTTGCCTTACAACACCCTGCATGTGCCCATCCACCATGAGTGGGTTCAAATAAATTGACCAAAATACATTTTAGGTCAATACTTTATCACAAATCTATCATAAAACAATGTGTCAGACATCAGGCGGCATATATCTAACCATTTCATTGAACTTTCTGTGAGTGAGCTTTTAGAAATGTCTGGTTCCTGTCACCACCACTGTGAACAATTCTGACTTGGTAAGTTTCTCTAGAACAGAGCATTTCACACCAAACCACTCTGAATGACATTGGTTACATCTCAAGCATTTAATTATGTAGAATTTTGGTAAAATTGGTGGAGTCCTCCAGTCATGCATTTGATAAGTAACAGTTGGGGTGTATAAATGCCTCAATACATTGCCATCGATTTGAAGGCTGCAGTTCAACTGTTTTGGAATGTTTTTAGGTTGTTAATTCAGTCATTGTATGTTTGATCATTAAGTATTTTTATGCCATGCAAGCGTTAATTAGCAAATTAGCGTTACAGTCACTCTTCTGAGCACAGAAAAGCAAATCAAAATCATGTGTAAACTTTTTAGCAAATAATGTGCTGAAACAAGCCATATTGATAGTAGGACAAAATGAAGAGATGGGTCTAAAAGGATGATTGCATTTTTAAATATGACACAACTTTGCACATTCCAACTTATCAGATGTCAGAAAAATCAGTATTAACACATTGTGTGACCTTAAAACGTTCTGAAGTATTGTGATATTACATTTTGGTCAATGTTTAAGCCCATTTCACTCTAGTTATTGCCAAACTAACAAACTAGTAATGAGCAGCCAGTTTATTACCAGCTACTGGTTTGTTAAAAGCTTAAAAAGAAAATTACCCCCTTTACTGAACTGTTACATATTTCAATTAAAAAAAAAATAGAAACCATCAGTTGCCATTAAAAAAAAGAGAGTTAAGTCCACCACACACCAGCGTAGCTGAGCACTGCTGTAGAATGCCAGCAGGGAGAACTGATTTAAAGCCAAATTCAAGTTCATTTTTATACATATAAATTGCATAAAATAAAGCTTTCAGCATCATTTATCACACTTGGCATCTGTTTAGTACCCCGTCACAGACTGTCTGTTTTCAAACTAAAAGATATGAGCTAAAAAAGACTAGAATAACATAGAATAACATAACATGAGCCGAGTAACTTCCCAGCAGCATGTGTCCGTTTATCTAAGAGACTGGCTGCCTTTCTCTGTGTTAATTACAAGCCACATGTGATCTACTGTGGCTCTCTGTGCTCTTAGTATGGCTTCAGCTTAATGTAGTAATGGCAAAATGCTGCATGGCGTGCTGGGAAACGGAGCAGTGCACATAGTCATTGACGCAGATTGTCGCCGCCATTGTATCCTCAATTAAACAACAAACAATAATTTAAAATTTTTGGACACTGTGCAGTGTAACATACCGCGTCCAGTGTGTGTTGGCTTTTAGGCACTGAAGAGCCAGCATTAGCCATAACTAGCACACCTCTCACCTTCACGACACACTTCTCTGTTAACTTTTTAACATTGATGCAAAAATGTGGCATTTGATCTGCTATTCTCTGTTAATAATGCAGTTTCTCAATGCGGTTGTGGCATTTATTAGACATTTAAAGATGCATTTGATATGTATGAGCTCACAAAATTCATAGATAAACAAAATTTTTAGATTTTTTTTGTCTTGCAAACTAACCTTTTGAATAAGAAAATGCATGAATAGTAATACAGCTCAAATCAATCATGTTTTACTCTAGTTTAACAACAATAAACAATAATAAGCATGTTAACCCAAATTGCACTCTGAATTAGCTTTCGCCTTTGCTCTGAAAAAAAATCAATGAATATCCAACACTAAAAAAAGCTTTACACACCTTTTATACAGTGATAGACAACACAGTAGCACACAGAAAGTGCTGATATTATATGCTGTCCAGCATGAACATGTCTGCGTTATTACTCCTCTGGCAATACTGCAAAATTCTCAGAATATATCACTGGCTAGACATTCGGTTTATCAATTTTTTGCAAAAAATGTAGCCTTGCAACCTTGCATATCCAAGCTGAGCAGTATGTGAAATTAATAATTATGAATGATACAAAAATGTAATTATAGTAAATATGAGATTTAGAATTAAATTGGTGTAAATCAGAGATTTCTATCTTTAGGAACAGCACATTATTAGACAACTATTAGAGTTATTATTAGACATTATTAAAGTTTGAGTACAATCATGAAACAGCATTAACTTACTTGCTGTAGAAGGATCTTTTGGTTACTAGTGTCTGTTAGGTTAGAGCCTGTCAGGACTTTCATTCGCACTGCAAGAATGTCATCTGTTGGAAGACCCAGATCACAATTACGCACATTTCTTTAATGAGAGAAAATCTCCTTCAGCTGCCAAAAAGTAAAGTATGATTGCTATGATGAATTTTATTACAGTAAAACATCATTACCTCTTGTAATTGCGTCACTAGGTCGGTTTACCAGGAAGGCCCAGCGTCCTGGGACGTTCACATTACTCAGATACCTGAGACTCTGAATGGTGAATTTGTTTTCTGACCACAGAATTACAAAGTAGTCTGTGAAGTTTGTGTCATATCCAGCCTAAACAGACAAAACGTTTAGAATTGAGAATAAAGACAGATGTTTTTTTATTATACATGTGATGTTTAGACCATATTACCTCCGCTCTGAGGTTAGTTGGAGCAATGTCACCGTAGTTCATCAGCACAAAGGAAAAATTGCCACCAGAAATCAAAACCACTTGAAATGATGTTTCCTGAAAGACAAACGATACCATTGACTATACATACCATATACATGTACCATATACACATACATATACCATATATACATACACTTAGTCAGAAAAATAGTTGCACCCAGAAGGAATCGACAGAAAGGAATCAAACTTAGTGGGTAGGTTTGACATCATGAGACATACGAATGATTCAAGTTTCACGCTCATGTGATGTAAGCAAGGATGGGCCTCATACTATAGGTTGTCCCGGGAGAATCAATGGATTGTTTGACATGCATGGAGTGACCCAACCACCACGATTGCGGACGTTCAGCGAGCAGTGATGCCCTCCATGAGTCATCCTGTTAGCGCCAGCACCGCTGGCAGACGGCTGCACGACGCAGGACTACATGCATGCAGACTGTTACAACGAGTGCCCTTAACACCACATCAACGTTGCCAAAGACTGCAATGATGTCATGCCAGACTATCATGGAATGACTCAGAATGGCAGCGGGTCGTCTTCAGTGACGAGTACCGCTTTTGTCTGACTGACAAATCTGTGTGTGGAGGCACCATGGTCAGCGCCAAGATGAACTGTTTGTTGTCTCGCATCACAGGTCCAGAAGGCCTGGTGTCATGGTGTGAGGTGCAATTTCGTACGATGCCAGATCACCGCTGGTCTTCCTTACAGGCACTTTGACAGCCCAACATTACGTTAATGAAGAACCAGCGGCCCTACCTTTTCTGAACGCACACTCCGATGCACTATTCCAACAGGACAACGCTTGTCTGCATACTACTGCTGTCTCAAGAGCTTGCCTTGAAAGCACAGATACTGTGCCATGGCCAGCCACATCGCCAGACCTATGCCCGGTTGAAAATGTGTGGGATGCTATTGCACGTGCTATCCACACTCCACCCCTACCGCAAATATATTGCTGCTGTCAGAAGAAAACCTTGTGTCTCCGTTTTTCAGTTTTTGACATAATTTGAAAATGCCTGTTGCTCTTTACGTTGTGTGTAAATTTCATTATGAATGGACCAAATATATATACAGAAACAGTCATGTATATATATGTGTGTGTGTGTGTGTGTGTATATATATATATATATATATATATATAATATGTATACACACACATACACACACTTATTGGTTCCAGCCACCGTTGCTTTCACTGAACACTGGTAAAATTGAAATAAAAAAATTTGGAAATTAGTAATGAGTTTGCTATCTATTTATTTTTGGATATAAATGCAGTATGTCTCTAGCTAACAGTGCTGCTAACTCTTAGTCATATACGGAGATTTAGGCCTATTATTTTTGAATTATGGAAGTATTTAACTTGTGTCATCACCACAAATTTGTTACGAGGTCTTATAGCCACATTGAGAAAGATGTAAATGATGGTGCAGTGAGTAACGCAAACAGTCTGCATACAGAAGCTTGTAGCTTTGATCCCCATCCAGGAAGCACTGCCACGTGGAATAAAAGTTCTAGTAAGTTTCCAAATGCTGCACTCAACTAGCACCGTTACCAGCTCTAATAGTGTTTGATAAATGCCAAAGAATGTGTTATATTTTGTAAATACTAAACTAAATGCAGTATGCTTTCCACCATATCCTTTCTTCTATCTCCACCAATCAGACAGTGTCATATCTTACCGTGCCTGAGTAGCTGAAGTACGCCACTTTATCCCATGTTGCAACAAAGACCCATGAGGCAGTGAAGTTCACTCCTGGAAAGTACTGGTTTATGTCCCGTGTGGCCTGTAAGAGCACACTGCCACTAGTGTACTGATTATATGAGATATTACCATTTCCACGATTATCCATATCAGTCCAGAGTGGAGCGATGAGATCTCTTCCACTGTTAACAACGAAGCGCTCAGGCACCCAGCTGGACATTGCTTGATCAAATGTCAAGTGTCCATTGTTGTTGACCTGCAAGTGAAAAGAAAAGCAGTCATTTTCATAGACATGCTGAATATTCACTGATCACCATGGTGGTTATATTTGTAGAAATTAGATTTCCATACACGATTTAGCTTTAGTGATGATTATAACCACTCACAAATAGCTGAGAGTATGTTCGTCCAAAGAAGGAGAATGGACTCTGTAGGCCTATAACAGATGAGCTTCCATCATCACTGGGACTGTTAAAGGCGTCTCCTGCCCCCAAGCCGAATGGATAGAACACAGGCGGTTGTGATACTGTATGGGAATAAAATTGGTTTTATTATTCACTTGGCTCTAGGGCTGCAACAAACGACTAATTTGATATTCAAATAATCTATCGATTACTGAAACAAATAATCGATATCACTATGTAGCTATCAGCTTTTAAATGTAGCATTTTTGTTTTATGCATTTGCTGACTAACATTATACAACAGTTAGTTCCGGCCACGCAAGCTGATTGGTTGAGAAACGTTCTAACCGTGCTGTTATTTCACCATAAAATCACGTTTTTTTCACAAACACTGTATCACTCCACTGAGACGCTGTTGCTAAGTGACTTTGACAGCTGTAGGAGACGCTCAAGCCATTTGAACTTTTTTACTTCTTACTTTGTGTAGAAACAGAAAATGGATACTTTTAAGATCACATTTGACCGACAGCCGATTTGGTCAGACTCTGAAGATGAGACTACACTAAAGTCCTAAACTGTCATCACCACTGAGCAGCTTTTCAGTCGGCAGCTGTGACAGAAGAACAGCTAAACAACCTGGAATTAGCCAGAAATGAACCCAACACCATTCGCCAAACTAAATGGGCTGTAAATGCTTTACAGGCTGGCTGGAACAAAACAACATTAATATTGATCTGGCAAAAATTGACAACACTGAGCTGAATTTGATATTGCAGCAGTTTTATGGCTCGGTCCGTACTTCAAAGGGTGAGACATACAGCAGACTGTGCAGCGAGTGGGCGGAGTTCATTACTCTGATGTAGCAACAAGCTGCTTGTTAAGGAACTATAATTTGGCAGAAGCAACTGCCGACATTAAAACATATTAAATGCCGCGTTCACAGCCCAAATTATTTGTTTCTTACTTTATTTATTTAACAGTTGTATAAACGCAGCAGAACACTCGAGGTTGTGTGTTATTGCAAATAACATCTTGGCTGTGATGATCTATGGCACTCACCTTTGGCTCGTGCCTACAGCCAAATCACAGCTGTGATGTTATTTCATGATAACACATTTCCTCTCATGTTCTATTGCTTAAATGAAGACAATAAAGATGAATAACTTATTTAAAGATTCACTATTTTAATGAACTTTCCTGCACGTACAAAAGATAAATAAAACTCCAAATATCCTTTTCCTGTCACAATTTAAAACCAAGGATGTGCAAAGTACCAGCAGTGAAATACAACCCCAGTTCCAAAAAAGTCAGGACGCTGTGCAGAATATAAATAAAAATTGAATGCAATCAAATGCAAATCATGTAAACCATATATTTAAAGGAAAGTACTACAACGACAACATATCAAATGTTGAAACTGAGAAATTTTATACATTTTTGAAAAGTACAGGAACTTTTGAATTTGAATTTGATGCCAACAAAAAAGTTTCAAAAAAGTTTCAAAAAAGTTTGGACGGGGGCATTTTTACCACTGTGTTTCACCACCTCTTATTTTAACAACACTCTGTAAGCGTTTGGGAACTGAGGAGACCGACTGCTGTTGTGAAAATGAAATGTTTTCCCATTTTTCCTTACCATAGGATTTCAGCTCAACAGTTTGGGGTCTTGTATTTTTCATTTCATAATGTGCCAAATGTTCAATGGGTAACAGGTCTGGACTGCAGGCAGGCCAGTTTAGCACCTGGACACTTTTAATATGGAGCAATGCTGTGGTTTGGCATTGTCGTGCTGAAATAAGCAAGACTTGCCCTGAAAAAAACCTTGTCTGAATGGCAGCATATGTTGCCAAACTATGTATATATCATTCAGCATTAATGGTGCCTTCACAGATGTGCATGTCACCCATGCCATGAACTGTGCACTGATAACAAGCTGAGTGGTCTTTAGCCCAGAGGACACAGTGTCTATGATTTCCATTAAGAATTTCAGAAAGAAGAATTGTTGATTTGTCGGACCACAGGACACTTTTTCATTTCGCCTCAATCCATTTTAAATGAGATCGGCCCAGAGAAGGTGGCAGCATTTCTGGATTCTGTTTATGTATGGTTTCTTCTTTGCATTTTAGAGTCTTAACTTGCATTTGTGGATGCAGTGTTGAATTGCATTCAAAACCAGTGTTTTTAAGAAGTGTTCCTGAGCCCATGCAATGATTTCCTCTACAGAATCATGTCTGTTTTTAATGTAGTGCCACCTGAAGGCCCAAAGATCATGGCCAGCAAATACAGATTTTTGGCCTTGTCCCTTACGTACAGAGATTTCTCTAGATTCCCTGAGTCTTTTAATGTTATTATGTACTGTAGTTCTTTGCTATTTTTAATTTGAGAAACGTTATTCTTAAATTGTTGCACTATTTGCTTGTGCACTCTTTTACAGAGTGGTGAACCCCTCCTCATCTTTACTTCTGAAAGGCTCAGCTTCTCTGGGAAGGTTTTTTTGTACCCAATCATGTTACTGACCTGTTGCCAATTTACCACCAGGTGTTTTTTTAGCATTGCAAAAACTTTTCAAAAAAATATAGGCATATATTTTTCAAAAAACAATACAATTTCTCAGTTTCAACATTTGATTGGTTGTCTTTGCACTATTTTCAATGAAATATAGGGTTTAAATGTTTTGCACATTGCTGCTTTTTGTTTTTATTTACATTTTGCACAGCGTCCCAACATTTTTGGAAATGGGGTTGTAAAAGGACTACTTATTCTTTAAAGATCATCTGTGAAACATGATGGAGGTGGTATCATTGTATCATATCATATTTATGGGGCAGTGCTCTACATCTTCATTCCAGCAGAGTTAATTCTATAATATGTAAGGCTTATATCTCTACCTCTCAGTCCACCACAGTCAGCATGCAACTCTGTAGCCAAATGTTTTTTGACATTCATGTCACCATCATACAAGTATGCTAACAACACCTAAGGAACCATTGGGAGCCTTGCAAAATCCTAGCAACCACCTGGGATAGAATAGCAGTTGGCTTCCAAGACCTTAGCAACCCAACAACCTGGAATGGTATATCAGTGGCTTATCTTAGCAAACACCTTGGATACCATAGCTATGTCCTAGCAACACCTTAGCTACAAAGTAAAGGAACTGCTTATGCTTCAAAGATCATCTGTGAAACATGATGGAGGTAGTATCATTACTTGTGATTGCTAACAGCAGAAGCATGGCAAATTCTGAAGCACACAAACAAATTAACCATTCAAAACCAACCAAATGCCTTAAAGCTCATTGGATGGGACTTTTTTTTTACTGTGATGTCAAAATCATTTCAAACCCAGTGCACCAGAGCACAGATTGCAGTTTGTATTTAGTACATAGGTTTGTGTTTCGTCTATGTAGGACACACTTACCTTGGCTAAAGATGTTTCTTGGCCCCCCAGTCACTTTGAAGGCCCAGCGACCTGACACATTCACATTACTTGAGTTGCTGAGGTTGGATATGAAGCTGGTGTCATTTGAGCGTGGAATCAGAAAGTAGTCTGTGGAGTTTACTGTGTCATACCCGGCCTAAACAAATAAGAAATTCAAAGTGAAGAAAATGACTTTAAGAAGAAATGAAAATGTTTTATATTTATGTTCATTTTTTTTAAATATAGAAGGGTGATAAAGATAACAATGTTGCGTTGTAGACATGAGGCATCATTTTACCTCAACGCCAAGGACTGTTGGAGCAATCACACCATAATTCATGAGGATGAAGGAAGAATTGCCTCCTGAAATTAGAACCACTTGAAAGGATGATTGCTGAAAAGCATAGGGAAGCATGTCATTGATGTGTCTGTGATTGTGCCTATGTTTACTCTAGTAATGAACTGTTTTTTTTAATCTATTGAGAAAAACATCAAAATTAGGATTTATATTAAACCCTGCTTATATCAAATACACCTAATTCTGATAAAAAAAAAAATAAAATAATTGGCTTATGTTCTGATTTCAGGAACGAGCTCTATTTCTGATGCCCATCTATGTTAACCATGGAAAATAAAATAATGCATTTTCCTGCCTTTTTCTACTTTTTTTATATCCACTAACCAGACAGTGTTACACTCTTAGCAACAACAGTTCATCTCTTCTTTTTTTCACCAGTAACCCCAATGGCAAGACACTTATCCCTTATTGATTTCAATGGTATTCGCTGTAGTGCTCTTGTTCCTATTCCAGTGTTCTTTATATCGATTTTTGTCAAACCAACCAGAAGTAGTTACCCGCTTCAGCACCGCACCCCTTCACTCCTATGCTGGTAGTGTTAGCTGTACTACATTCTGTTACAGATAGTTTTCAAGCGGCATTAACACCATATTCCCTGTCTTGACCTCAGGACTTTTATTAAGTTGGCTTTAAAACGCAGACCTATTGTTCTTAGATTTCTTATGGTGATCGTACATCGTTCTTTCAAACACAAATTATTTTCTGTAGGAAAGAGTGAGGGAGTCATTCCAACTGATATATTGTATAATATTTATTACTCATATCTCTATGTACTTGTATAGTACCCCTGTTTCTGACAGTGTGCCGCAGCAGCAGTAACCCTAGGAGGGTCATATAACTAAGCCAGTGATGGTCACAGCATGTTAGCTTTTTATTTCTAAAGGAAACTTTGTGTGTCTTACTGAGGCGTTTTTGTAGTACGCCACTTTATTCCATGTTGCAACAAAGACCCAGGAAGCCGTGAAGTTCAGCCCTGGAAAGTACTGGTTTATGTCTTGGGTGGCCTGTGAGACCACGCTGTGATTAGTGTATTGGTGATATGAGATAACACCATTTAGGCTGTTATCAATGTCAGTCCACAATGGAGCGATGATATCTCTGACGCCGCGAGCAGGGAACTGGTAGGGGGTATAGCCGTACCACGGCCGATCAAACGTCAGATGCCCGTTGTTGTTGACCTGCGATTGGCATCAAAAGTTGAGAACACAATTAGAAAATTAAAAATAAGCAAAATCTGTCTTGTCTTACAATGCCATTTTTAAACAATCAACATTTGTTCCCACTTACATAAATTTGAGGGTATGAATATCCAAAAAATGAGAATGGACTTTGTAGGCTTATAGGAGGACTGCTTCCATCATCATAGGCATTATTACTTGTATCGCCAAAAGCAGTGCCAAATGGATAGAATGAAAGTGGTGGTGCTTCTGTGGGGAGTACATACATTTATTGTAGCTTAAAAAAAACAAAACAAATACAAAAAAAAACACAACAAATAAACAGAACCATTGCATACCTGTTGGGCTGATGGATGCAGCTGCGGAACTGATGGGGATTATTTTGCTGACACCTAAAATATAATATGTAAAATCTTTAAAATTGAAACATATTGGGTTGAATTATGTAGTAATACCATGATTAATTATAGGATAACAATGAAAAAATAATCATGTACAGTACATTATCTACTAATACTACAACTTTCAGTACACTACTTCCAGTACCATGGAACAATTGCATATTTAACTATATTTCATTTTCTTGGACCCAAGAAAAATACCATGAAAGAGATCAAAGAGCTTGGTTCCAGAATTGGTATATTACAACCACTCAAAAAGCCATATTTTACTTTTAATCTGTAATTTAATTAAACGTTTTTAAAAAGTATTTTTATATTAATTTGATTTAAGTATTTTAATATTAATTTAATATGAATTGTGTATATTTTTAAAGCAGAATTGAAGCTTCCTGCTTGCTGTTGTGTCTGGGATTTTTGCCTTTAATTGTGGTAATTTATCTGTTTTGTTTGGGTCCTTTTTCCTGACTCTCTGTGAAGAACTCTTTTGTTATGTTTTGTGATTCACCCCTTGTAGTGCTTTGCTTTGTTTGGAGTGATTTTGCTCAAGTAAACCACTTTGGAAGCAAGAACCTTCCTGACGAGCATTTGCACTCAGTGGTATTGTGACAGAGCATGCAAGCAGGTTCAGATCAAGTCGGTTCTCAAAGTCATGGGTACGGTAGAGGTTAAGCTTCATTTTTATACCTGGACAGACCTCTAATTTAGGTTTATGTTGGAAAAGGAGTGCAGTTGTAAGATTCTAACAACTAAATCTACTTCCCAGCGTACCAATTATCAATACTAAAAAATGTATCCTTATACATTTGCAATGTGTTAATATTTGCTGTTGTCTTTAAGTGGTCTGTATTATATATTCTTTGTAACTGGATAGCTAACAGGCAGACACCTATATATGCTAACTGCTAGCTATGGGGTTTACTAAGACACTGAACAAGTTGCTGTAAATATATAGAGTAAAAAATACGATTAGCAGAATGTCTAGTACAAGTTTGAAATTTCCATGTTTAAGTTCAAGCTGCCCATAATATATGAATGTTCATCCATGTAAGCTTGACCCTAGCATAACATTGTAAATAACATAGGGGTGCTAGGGGAAATTTGTATTATTGTAGCAGCAGTAATTGGATGAGCAATAGCTACTTGTAAAGTAAATAGAAAGAATTCTGGATTAAACTATTCTACACTCTGCATTGTGAGCACATAGTATTATGAATATGGTACGATACAATAGAAATACGAAATCTGGTACTACTTATACAACTAGTATTACTACTACTAATATTAATAATAATATTAATAATAATAATGAAGGTCATTTGAGTTTTCACACTGAGTAAAAACCGTAACTTTCTTGGAAACACAAAGGGATTCAGATCAACCTTTTATTCTGTATCGTCACTATCCAAAGAAAAACAAAAACATTCTGTACTTCAAAGGAAACTAACATAAAGAGATTTTATTCCAAGTAATTTTGGTGTGTTTCTGTTGGTCCAATCATCTTTAAATTTTTACACAATGTAGAGGGCAGCTGCTGAGCTCAAATGATATAAAAAAATAAAAATAAAAATAAAAACAACCCAAAAAAACAGAGATATGTGTTTTTCTTTGGATAGTGATGATATGCATTATAAAAGAACTGTGTTTAGCTCTCAATATTATGAAATATTTTTGATTTGATTTGATTTTTTATACAGTTACTTCCATCTTTTGCCTAAATAATTCGTATTTTTTTGAATAAGTATTTGTTTTGCATTCAGAAGCTTAAAAAATGACGTACCTGCTGTGCTGATGGGTGCAGTTGTGGAACTGAGTGGGTTTACGCTGATGCCTAAAATATGTAAAATGTGACATGAACAAACATGTTGGGCTGCGGTAATTAATTATAAGATAACAATAAGAACCAATCACATACAGAACAGTTCTTCCTAATACTACAGTACTTTCAGTAAACTACTTCCAGTTCTGTGTTACAATATCATATTTAATTGTATGGTTATTTAAATATGGACTCAAGAAAAACACCATGAAAAAAATGTAAGGAGTCTTTAAGTAGTGTATATTATATATTCCCTGTAACTGAATAGCTAAAAGACTAACAGGCTCAGCAGATGCCTTAGCTAAGGGGCTCCTGCACTAATATTTAGACCCTGAAGATGTTGATTTAAAATATATAGAGTAAAAAAATACAGTAATCAGAATGTCTATTACAAGCTCGAAATTTCCAGCTCAAGCTGTCCATAATATATGAATGCGTTTGGCTCTAGCGTACAAACAGTAGCATTATAAATCCCATAGAAGTGCTAGGGAAAATTAGCATTCTTGTAGAGGCAGTAATTATATGAGTAAAGGCTATTTATGAAGTAAATTTTAAAATGTCATGCTTTGCATTAGCACATATTAATTATAATGGTAAAGGCCAGAGATGTGGACTCGAGTCATATGACTTAGACTGGAGTCTGACTCAAGAAAATCGAGAAAGACTTGCAACTCGACTTTGACTCAAACACCAATGATTTTGACTTTGACTCGGACTTGCGGCTCATGACTCGGATAAACAAAGTAAAAGAAATGTGGCGAGGCGTCTGAGCGCAGACGGAACTCTACACAGTTAGTTACTTATCATGGGTATGGATTCGTTTCCTGCCGTAAAGTTGATGTACAGCAACATCATCAGATGTCTGTCACTGTGCTTAGGCTTGGCTTATTTTATTTTGGAAGACAGTTGAAGTGTTAGAGTTCAAGTTCGCCTCCATAAGATGGAAACAAGAGAAGCATCAACAGCATTAATGCGCCCTCGCTCAGCTCTTAAACTCCAGCCTTATTAGAGAAAATTACCAGAGCATTTTCCTCATAGTAGCAAAACTAAAGAAACACAGCTCTGTCTATTTGACCGATTTTAACAGCTTCTGCAGGTAAAACAAGTGCAACATTTACCACGAGGCTGAAGCTGACTTGTTATTCACCAGCTTCGTACTGGAATTTGCCGTTCCACTTTAAATGGTGCAGCAGTCAAGCGCCAGAACGTAACTGCTGCACCATTTAAGGTGCAACGGAAAATTCATCTAAGAAGCTGCTGGCAAAAAAAAGTTCAGCTTCGTCCATTCAACAGTTACATACCTGTTGTGCTAATGTCTGCAGCTGTGAAACTGTTTGGGGTTTCCACGCTGATGGCTTGAATAATACAATTTTGCAAAAACAATAAGAACACATGGGATGTTCTATAATGAAACTACCTTTCTGATGTTTCTTCTCAAAATACGTAACACCCAAACACCCCTGTAAATATAGTGATTCTTTTTTGTTTAGGATGAGAACTTGTTTTGCAATTAAAGGCCTTTATGCTGTGGCTTTATACTGAAAATACATGTGCATGTATTGTTGTATATCAGTTATAAATATGACAGTACACATCAGAGGTTAAAACGTGTTAGACCAGCAGTGAGGAAGGGATTGATAAGCAATGAGAACAGTTACATACCTGTTGTGTCAGTGTGTGCAGCTGTGGAAGTGGTTGTGCTGACATTGCTGGTGTCTATAATAATATATTTTGCATTAACAATTAGAGCAACTCATGACCTGTCCTTTAAAAACAAATACTTTGGCTTTTACTACAGCAATGCTAATGTATTATACCATCGCTGTCACACAAATATCTTGTAATTCCATTTCATTTTCTTACATAATTTAAAAAGTCCAGTTACCCTTTGTATTGTGTTAAAATTTCATGATGAATGGACCAACAGAAGTTTTCTAAAAATACTTAGAGGAAATCTTATTCCATTAACTCCCATTCAAAATAAAGAGGTTTTTTCCTTCTCCTGTAAAGTTTCCATTTTCTTTATATAAGGTTTTGTTTCAACAGCGACAGTATGGTAGTTATGTGGTAACTGGTGGTGTCAAGTTTTTTAAAGTCTGTCATCACACTTTTTTTTCCAGTTTGATCCTTCAGAACTATTCAGAGTTTCCCCTACAAGTGCAGCCGCTCGCATACTGTATCTTGCTGACCCTGTGACTGTAGCAGTCTCGCTCAAATACAGCTTTTGCTCTTTAGATAAAGTAAAATTATTTCCAGCTGCCATGATGTGAATTTGTTTATCACCGAAGTACATCAAGTCTAAAGTATAATTTTCAAGCAAAACGCACTGGTGATGCAGCAACATTAAGGCCAATTCACGCAAGTCTGATTTTTACAGATGAAATAAACACATCAAGATTTGAAAATAAACACATGTATGTTGATGCCGTCTTTCACAAATATATGAGCAAAGCTGAAAGGATGGAGAATGGCTGTATGTTACAGTAACTGTATGAGGAGTTTTTTCCTTTAACTAGGTAGATCCTAGTCTGTTCATTTCCACAAAGAACCTGACACTATGAGCTTTCCTCACTAATGAAAGCTCCTTTTTAACGAGAGGAGCACCAAGCAGAAGCAGAGCTTTGAATTCCCCCACTGACCTAGAAAATACCGGTAACACTTTCTATGAATGTCGCCTTTGTAAGCATCTATAAACACATTCATAACATGTTATAATACATTCATAAGGCATTATAAACATGGCTATAAATATTTATAAAAATGCATTATACGTTATAGCCATGTTTATTATGCATTATAAATTGTTAACATAATACGTTATAAGTACTGATCATAACAAATTATAAGAGCTCATAAGAGCTCGTATTTGTCCGCTCTAAGTAAAGTGAAGCATACTGTACTAAAGCCTCCTCCAGTGTTAAGAGTGAGGCTTCAAGTTGAAGTATTTACTGAAGGATTTACTGAAACACTAAAACGTACACAATAAAGCACATTACAGGCTTCAAATGTCAGAGTTTAAACTAGAGCTGCCATCAGTGTTTTACCCAATGTGGGAAAGGTAATGTACACCACCGTTAGCTTGGTATTTGTCTGTAATTTATGCTCTCCAAGCTGGGGCTGACTTCATTGGCACTGACAGTATAACATGTTATTAACACTATTTATAATCCATTATATTAACAATTCATAATGTATAATAAACATGGCTATAAAGTGTAATTCAGTGTAATTCTTTTTTATAAATATTTATAGCCATGTTTATAATGCCTTATGAATACATTATAACATGTTATAAATGTGTTTATAGATGCTTACAAAGGTGACATTCATAGAAAGTGTTACCAAAATACCTTCAGAATCGACTGACCTAGAAAATACCTTCAGAATCGACTCCCTAAGTTGGTGCCTTAAAAGAAAAATAACTAATTCATCCTCAGTGCTCCTCAAAGCATCCAATTCTTCTTCCTCCTCCATCTTCTTCCTGCATTTTCATAGCGTTTAGACAAAAATTCTTTGGACTTGGTGTGAAGGTCCCACTACGCTAAAAATGGCATCTGTTTTTTCATCTGAAAAAAGTACTTGGTGTGAATAGACCTTTATTAATGTGGCAGGACTGAATGGATTTTACACTAAAGCTTTGTATTGTAAACACATATACAAGCACCTATTGTAGAATAGTTTTAAATAGGACGGTGTACGTCAGAGGTTAAAACACATCCTATTAGCAAGGCATCCAGAAACAAAGATAATAAAAACATTACATACCTGTTATGGCGATATCTGCAGCTGTGGAATTTGTTGGACTATCTGTGATGATTGCCATAATAATACATTTTTAAGAACAAAGAGAGTAACACATGAGCTGTTCCATTAGGAAACAACACCTCTGATGTTCCACACAACATACTTCAGAGAGGTCACAATTATAGAGAAGATACATGTTGCTCTCACTGGTTGACTGATGAACCTTATTTCGTCCACTCATACAGCTTTATCAAAATGCATTGCTTTTTAAATGGAAAATATCAGTTTAACGCAAACATTTCACTGGTGTCCCGCAAGACTCCATATTTGGCCCGCTTCTCTTTTGCCTCTATATCCTCTGTTTTGGTGATTTTATGTCTTTGCATGGCTTTTCCTGCTACATCTATGACATGTTTTCCACCTTCAAATATTCAGGTAGTAATCTTGACTCGTCTGACTGACAGCTTAATATGAATGGTAGCTCTTTACCTATGGCTGAACTCCAGAAAGACCAAGTGGTTATGCGTATCTGGAAATACTTCTGCTAAAATAATTCTTCTAAAAAACATGGCTTGTTTTTAAGCTTCAGCCATGTCATTTCATGGCTGGATTCTATCCACTGCCATCCTGTATCACACTGCATTTGATTTAAAACACTGTTGCTTTACTAGAAAGTCAAATATGCACCACACAGGATGGTAGATAAGATAATAGAAGATAATAGAAATAATAGAAGATATTAGAAGATGATAAGAATCGACACAATGGTTAAAATGAACTTCCTCTGGCTGTTGAAACAGCTTAGTCCTTTACTGTCTTCAGTAGATTTATATCTTCTTTTTTTTAAAGGAGTACAATGATGCCCCCATTTAAGCACTGGACATCCTAATCATTAAGCCACCACTATTGTGATCAAACCGCAAGGCACAAGTAAATATTAAGATTTTATCTCTGCCACTTCTTAGCTCAATGATAGTTTGGACCTCTTTGTAGGTCGAGACTACCCTTGAGCTAAAATACATTCTCTGAGTGGACAATAAAGCTCCAATTGTTATTAGTATTATTATATACAGTAATAAAGTTATTATACAGTGTAATTACCTGTTTGTGCATTTGCAAATCCACCTATGAAGCGTTAAAGGAACAGAAACATATATTGAGCCACCTCTTTTAAGTGTAACTTCCAGTTAACTGAGCCAGTTACAGAGAAAAGCATTTAAAGAACATACTTATCATTAATATGATTGCCACCATCTTCAGAGATTCCCCCGACATTATAGCTGAACTCCTCATTGCCACATAGACTTAAATGTTCCAATCTGTAAAAGAAAAACAAAAAACATGAACCTTACTTTAGATCTTGTACCAGCATGTGGTGCCGTCAGATCTTATGAGCTGTAGATCACTAACCTCAGACAGAAGAGCACTGCTCTGTGTTCCTGAGCTCAGACTGAAGCACTTCACTGAGCACCAGGTTTAAATGTGTTCAACTCCCCAAACCTGCTTTTCACAAAGCTGATAAGGAAATGTATCCTTGCACGCTATGCTTAGACTGTATTAGTGACAAATCGTTTCCAATATTTGTTAATATTGGAAGATTTTTCTGTATGTGTTTATTAATAATTTATTATTAATCATTCATTTTAACATGCAGGGCTGAGGTGTTTTAAAAGGGTGTTCTGCAGGGGCACTGACTGATGACATGATGACACAGTGAACAGAATTAGACCTGTTCAATTGTATTTAGTGCAATGCAGCTTGTAATATATTGAGTAAAATCATGGTAGCTGTAGGTTTATTATCATTCGTATAGTATTTTATTATGTGTGGCACTACAGGTTCCATTTTGTCTGTTCCAACTTTTTAAATCTCAGGAAAAACTACACATTGTGATGCACATTATGTATCATTAAAACATCTTGAAGCACCATAATATGATGTTTTTGCCATATCGCCCTAATTCAAGTCCATTTTTCTTGTTGAGATAAATAGATAAATAAATGTAATAATTACATATACCACACATACACATACATGTAACACTTTATTCTATGATAATCATATGTAAAAGTATTGTTGTGATGTATTAATAATATGTTATTATTAGTAGTATTATTATTGTAACCATGGCAACATAAACAACCCTATGGCTTTTCCTTTTTTCATGGCACTCAATTTTATTGTAGCTTTTATTTTCTGGCAGAACTTTGATTCGATGTAAGATAACGGATCATGGAAGTTCCAGGAGTGACTGTGGAAACTGTGACAAAGCACAACTTGTTCTTTGCCAGCTTCTTGTCTTAGTCATACCTGTTAGACGAGATATGATGCACAGGCAAACTCATGTCGTATGGTAGGTATGTCAAGGTATGTCGAAGGTGACAGGTGACAAAAGTTCACAAACCAACCAAACAAACTGAAAAGGCTAACTGCTGCTGTGTTGACAGGATGGTGTGGTGGGGGGGGTGGGTGGGTGGGAGGGCATTTTTAACACTGAATTTCAGCAAGAAGTGACTTTTTTAAGTTTATAAGCACATAAGCATTGTGAGCTGTGACCTTCTACAGCTGCAGTCGTATGAATGACTGAGGTGTAAATCTCACACCTCATAAAAATGCTATTCATTTACAGTCATTTAAAAAATGATTGAATTATGACATTTCTTCACAATTCGATTTGCTTATTTTGGTTCGATTAACTGAATACTGAAAATGTGAGGGAGGAACTATTTACACAGTAATGAAACAGACATTTAACATACACCCACCTTTTTTGAAGGGTTAAAAATAGCCAGAGAATTTTAATTTGTTCAAAACTTATTTCCTCTACAGTTCGCATTTATTTACACCTCTACGGTTTGGGAATAATGTCTCATCACTGCACCAACTTACTTCTCCACCTGAGAGAAAAAAGATGATTTCATTTAGCATACAGGTAACTAAACGCCTTCTTAAGATTAATTAAGTGCATAAGCATTTCTCAAAACTCTTCATGCCTAAAGTAGTACATGATTTATTGGGTTATTTAAGGCAGGTAACATGATAATTAATCTTTAGAGCTGCACTATGTATGTTTTGGGGGTTTGGAGACCTCTCTGGTGGCAATGTATAACTCAGTCAAAACTTGGTGAAGGATGTGTTTTCTGAGGATGTGGGTGAAGTATCTACTGTTATCATGATATCTTCATCAGTATAATGTAGAGCCCTAAACATCGAGCTGGATCATCTTTTTGAGCCCATGACGCCAATACGTAAAGCCAAATGATATGGTCTGAAAAGAACCTGACCAGAAGTCACTGATTTTTAATATTAATTGTGAAATTTCCACATTGTGGGACTAATAAGGGTCACTTAATTTTAATATTATTATTTCAAGCTTTACAGGGCAACTTACAGCAGCGCACACACCACATTTTAGCATATGTTTTTCTCCTGACTCGGCAAAAGTACTTCTGTCAAATTTAGCAAAAATCTTGCGTAGTACAGCCTGGGCTCTGGGCTGCTCTTCTAGGTGTGTTATTTGTCCAGCTTTATCAGAATCTTCCGACTTATTGTCTCATAATTATGAATCATGCAGTGAATTTATATTGATTTGCACTTAGTAGACGCTTATGAAATTGTTTTGTTGTCCACTCAGGCATTGTATTATAGCTAGAACAAACAGGTTAGAGTCTAAACTACCCTTGAGCTCAGACACTGCCAGAAACAGAAGCCAGTGCTAGATAGAAAGATAAAGAATGAAACATAGTAAGTTCATCATAAGTGTTCATCAACTTATATGCTTTACAAAGTGAGGGGTCTTCATTTGTTGTTTGAAGATCACAAGGCAGTCTGTTCAGACAGCCAGTGAATGTTCGTTCTACCACCTGGGTGCCAGGACAGAGTCTCAGTAGCCCCTTTGAAACTGATCTAGACATGTTGTAGTTATGACAGTGAGAAATTATGCTGGCCCACATATGGACCCTTGTAGCACACAAATAGTCCAGGAGTAGTGCTCGGTTGTGCCTTGTGGGTGCAGGTAATTACAAAATCCACTGGACTGCAAGTTGTTCTTGTTGAACTTTATTCAAAGTTTTCCGACATCTAGTGACAAAAAGAAAATAAGGAAAAATGACTTTTACAGGTGATACACTGTGAATATTCAATAACACTTTTGGTCCATACAGTTAATACACCCCTCAGACAGGCCCAAGACAAGCTTATGCAGAATCAAAGTTGACCAAATGTCTCCAATAATGTTTTTGAAATCTTGTAATACTTGTAAGCCTTCATATTTGAATGTTCATTTTAACCTTGTAAAGGGTTTGGGAATAAACCAATGAGTTAAATCACATGTTTTCACAGGAAGAGTACCAGTACAGGAAAACTGTTCTACAGAGTTAAATTAATCAGTGTAGTGAGGAGTAAAAAAACGACAAACTCAACACAGCATGTACTTACTGTATAGACTTCACAGTTGTAATAGAGAAACTCTCTCAAACTCAAGATTACCCCAAAATAAATGAACAGACTTCATGTGAACATCAGCAAAGAAGAGCTTTTGAAATTACCAGCAAAAAAGTTACCACATAAAGTTGGACAGTGCGGTTCATGTTGTTCATTGTTTGTAATATTAGTACAGCAGGCAGTAGAGGTTCAACACTGCGCCCAACACATTTCCAATATATCTGCACAAAATTCAAATGAAGAAAACTGATGACAATAATGTAGCTTAGTAATGACAGTAGAGTTGGGAGGCAGGAGGACTGCTGGAGTGAGGTTCTGATTGGTGCTGGTTTATGACAAACATTGGCATTTAAGCAATGTATTTGCATTAGAAGGCATAATGGTTTTCTATGAAAGTCACCTTTGTAAGCATCTATAAACACATTTATAACATGTTATAATGCATTCATAAGGCATCATAATCATGGCTATAAATATTTATAAAAATGCATTACACGTTATAGACATGCTTATTATGCATTATGAATTGTTAACATAATACATTATAAGTACCGATCATAACAAATTATTAGAGCTCATAAGTTGTATTTGTCCGCTCTAAGTAAAGTGAAGCGTACTGTACTAAAGCCTCCTCCAGTGTTCAGAGTGAGGCTTCAAGTTGAAGTATTTACTGAAGGATTGACTGAAACACTAAAACACACACAATAAAGCTCATTACAGGCTTCAAATGTCAGAGTTTACACTAGTGATGCCATCAGTAGTGTTTTTGTACTTGGTTTGCTGTGATGTAATGTAACATTTAAAGTGAGAGCGCTGGTTAAGAAAAGCACAGTGTAGCAGCAATTCTAGGCTGGACAGCCTGTTTGGAGGATCTGAATATTCAGGACTGAAGCCCCAAAGAGTCCTAACAGCAACAATGGTGAGATATATAATGCTGGAAATCTCAGGGCAAAAATAAACTGTGTATTTGTCTTTATTTATGCTCTCCAAGCTGGGACTGACTTCTTTGGCACTGACAGTATAACATGTTAATAACACTACTTATAATGCATTATATTAACAATTCATAATGTATAATAAACATGGCTATAAAGTGTAATGCAGTGTAATTCATTTTTATAAAGATTTATAACCATGTTTATAATGCCTTATGAATGCATTATAACATGTTATAAATGTGTTTATAGATGATTACAAAGGTGACATTCATAGAAAGTGTTACCGGCATAATTAATAGAATGTCCATTACCCATGATGCCTTGTCACACCTCCATGATGCATACTGTTAAAGTTTTACATTGTGATTTAACAATTCCATGATGCATTTTTACACCCCTAGTAGGCAGTGATGTACACCTATCTGCCCTAAAAGCAAATACAGTTCTTAAGACTTAAAGAAAAGAAAAAAATGCTGAAAGCTAATTGTAGAAACTCCAACCTCAGGCTAAAATTCTACAACCCTGCACCATTTCTGCCTAATCAAAAGCACATGCTGTATATATTTAATTTTAAATTCGATACACACTAAAGTCTAAACATGTTTTTCATTTGCACAGTTTGTTGTGCAATGTAAAATAATGCAGTTTAATCAATACTACATTTTAGTTAGTAGTTTCAAGAAAGGGTACAGTATTAAAATACCACAATTAATTTGATCAAATATATTCTGAGAATTTATTCCACTGTGAAGTACAATCAAATTCTTTTGGCTCACAGAATGAACTATCATGGACTTTTCTTCTGAACGCGTTTCACTTTCACTCTTACAGTGGATGCCACACCTCTCCTCCTCAGTTCATCCTGAAGCTGAAAAGAAATATTGTTTTGAATTTCTCCAATATTTTTATAATTGAGGAGCAGGAAAGAGATTTGAATGCAATGATAAAGGAGAAGTAACAGTGTAGAACTACATTGAATGTTTATTAGAAAGTTTGCAATAAGAAATAAGGGATTAACTTACATTCTGCGAAATGATCATGTGGTTGTTGGTGTCTGTCAGGTTATAGCTTGTCAGGACTTTGTCACACTGCTAGAACGTGTTCTGTGGAAAACACACAATCACAATGTCATCTAAAGGTGTCATGATGCGCATGTTAGTTTTTATTTTTTCTTCATTATCATGAGATGATATATTTTCTGAATCGAATTTTAATTTTGTACCTTAAATAGAGCAGCTACACGTTACTACTGGTCCATTTAAGGTTGACCGGAAAAATTTTAATAAAAAGCTGACTTCAGCTTCGTGGATAAAACAGTCTCAGTAGCTACTTAACGCCACAGGATTCAAACAGCCGCTAAGTGACAATTCTGAACAGGCAAAACAAATAACTTGTTCCACAGAGATGTTATTAGCTACAATTTTGCACCTTTATTTGGTTCTAGGGTCCACCTCTAATGATCATATCATTTAATATTTTATTTATTTGATATTCTCTAAGAAAATGCCTTGTGCAAGCTACTCTTTCAACACACACTATTGAAAATGCTTTGAAAAATCCCAAAAAAGTTTCGTGAATTATTAAAAAATAAATAAAAGCATTAGCATGTTAGCATTTCTTTTTCAATTCTGTTTTGAAAATGTATTGTGATACAAAAACGACAATACAAATCATATTGGGAAATTAGCATTTTGTTACACCCCAAGTTTCTTCAGTGAACATCAGTGACAGTATTTTCAGAATAAAAGTTTACAATGAGGAACTCTCCTCACAGTAAAAGATTAACTCTTGTAATTGTGCCACTAGGTTGGTTTACCAGGAAGGCCCAGCATCCTGTGTGAATGATCCACCACCCAAATAGTACCGGCTCTGTGAGGGTCCATGGGGGTCCTGACCACTGAAGAACAGGGTAAAAGGGAGCTAACAAAGTATCAGAGAAACAGATGGACTCCAGTCTGTAACTGTAGAACTACAAAGTGCACCAATATAGTAAGTGGAGCTGATAAAAGGGACAATGAGCGTAGAAACAAGGAGGTGGTCATGACGTTATGCCTGATCGGTGTATATTCATGGTAATGCCAATTTTTTAAACTGAATTTTATTTTACATTTCTCTATACTATGGTGGTGCCAACCCACGAGCAACAGATTTACGTTGGATAATACTTGACACGTACAAGTCATTCCTTGGTAAGGTGTAAAAATCTGTTGCATGAGTGCCAAAATTAGAATATGGAATTCTAAGCACATTTAAGATGATTAAAAACAGCCATGCCTTTCAGTTTCACCATGGTTTCTCTTATTCCTATCAATTCTATATCTTACCATGCCTGAGTAGCTGTAGTACGCCACTTTATCCCATGTTGCAACAAAGACCCAAGAGGCAGTGAAGTTCACTCCTGGAAAGTACTGGTTTATGTCCCGTGTGGCCTGTGAAAGGACACTGCCACTAGTGTACTGATTATATGAGATATTACCATTTCCACGATTATCAATATCAGTCCAGAGTGGAGCGATGAGATCTCTTCCAGTATAGGCACTGAACTGAGTGGGTGAATAGCTGTCCCACAGCTGATCAAACGTCAGGTGTCTATTGTTGTTGACCTGCAAGTGAAAACAGAATCAGACATGATAATTATACAAAAGAAAAATGATATTATTTAAATTCATAATGATTATAGTCACTCACATATAGTTGAGCATATGTGCGTCTGTACAGAGAGAATGGACTCCATAAGTTTATAGCAGGTGAGCTTCCATCATCACTGCGGGGATTAACAGTGTCTCCTGCGCCCGAGCCTAATGGATAGAACAGTGCTGGTGGCACTGTGAGAATAAAACATGTTCTCCATTACTGAATAATCTTTAACATAAATAACTACAATGTATATTGTCAGGCTTTCTCTCATAATCATTGTTTAGAAATTCTGGGCCTGCCACTGCAATTCAATGGGATACAGTTCAGTAACAGTAGTGTTTACTAGGTTAGTTTATACAGTTGTAATGCCTACTGGATCATTCTACCAAATTAGTTCAAAAGCAGTTCAGACGGGTTTGAACTTTGCTTTCAGTGACCCTTTGAATGACCCTATATAGTTTATTTTATGAAAATAAAGGACTAAACACTACCTGAGAATTTTAGCTAATTTTGCACTGAACAGAAAATGTTAAAATAAGACTCTGCCTGTGGAGCCCTTTTGGTGTTTTTTTAGGTAAAAATTTATACCATAATAAATCTAATCACAATCTTTCAACTTAAAAATAAATAAAGATCTTTAAAAAAGTAAAAATGTAAATATTGTTTTACAAGTGTAAATTTAAGGGTTAGGGCTTAGAACAGCCACCTACCAATAGAAATTACTTTATAAATGATGGTTTTGTATATAATAGCTTATTACTATCTCAATTAATGCTTTGGGTTTAAACAGATCATAACAGAAGTAATATGTTAATATTTAGAATACTTATAGATATGTAAGGTCTGAATACCTAGGGTTTTTTTGTTCATTCAGTATAATGGTTCTACAGGTCGAAACTAAAATCTAACCAATTTCCCCTCATTGAATTTCTGAACTAAAAGCTGTAGCATAGTGAGCAGTAAAGTCTGGAGGAAAGAAGCATCCTTGAATATTGTGTGTTTTTAATACCTTCCTGAACAGTGTCCCACCAACAATTTGGCAAGATAGAGACTCATGGAAACATGTAAGCACTGTCTCTAAATGATTAAAATTTAATTTAATTGCACATTGTATAGGCAGTGGGAGACGGCAGGGAGGCCCTTGGAGGCATGGACCCCTGTGGCGGAAACTGGCTCTTCGTACATGGAAAGTAACCTCACGGGGAGGAAGGAGCTGGAGCTTGTGTAGGAGGTTGAGAGGTACCAACTAGATATAGTTGGGCCCATTTCCACCCACAGTGTTGGCTCTGGAACCAAACTTCTTGATAGGGGTTGGTCTCTCTCCTACTCATAGTCTTGCTGGGAGTTTTCAATGATGGCCAAGACTGGGAAACCTGGAGAGTGGAGATTGGGAAGAACAGCACGCCTGATCTAAACACGAATGGTGAATTGTTATTAGACTTCTGTGCTAGTCATAGATTGTCCATAACGAACACCAAGTTCGAACACAAGGATATTCATAACTATGCTTGGTACCAGAGCTCTTTGGGTCAAAGGTCAGTGATCAACTTTGTTCTCGTTTCATCTGACTTCAGACCATATGTTCTGGACACTTAGGTGAAGAGAAGTGCTGAGCTGTCAACCAATCACCATCTGGTGGTGAATTGGATCAGATGGCAGAGAAGACTGGTTATCAGACCTGGTAGATCCAAGTGAAAAATGAGGATGTGCTGGGAATGACTGGCAGAGGCCCCTGTTCAGAATTATTTTAAGTCCCACCTCTGGGATAACTTTTCTTTTGTGCCAGAGGAGGTAGGGAGTCTGAATGGAGGTCCAAAACCTCCATTATGGAATCCACAAACTGTGGCCAAAAGCTTTTTGGTGCTTGTCAGGATGGAAACCCAAGAACACCCTGGAGGATGATGAGGGAGGCCATCAAGCTGAAGAAAGAGGACTGGATGGCTCAGAGGACTCCCGACTCAGCAGATAGTTACTGACAGGCAAAAAGGCGGCAGCGGCAACGATGGCGGAAGCAAAATCCAGGGTGTGGGAGGAGTTTGGCGAGGCCATGGAAAAAGACTTTCGGTTGGCTTCAAGGATGTTCTGGACAACTATCCGGCGGCTCAGGAGCAGTTGGGGTGGCTTCACCCAAACTATATTTGGCAGGGGTGGAGAAACTCTGACTTCAAATGAGAATGTCGGCATCTGATCAGGATGCCCCCTGGACGCCTCCCGTTGGAGGTTTACCAGGCATAGCCTACTGGGACTAGACCCCAGGGTTGTCCTAGGACCCACTGGAGGGATTATATCTCCAAACAGGCCTGGGAGTGGCTTGAGGAGGAATGATCTGGAGGAAGTTGCAGGGGACAGGGCCATCTGGGATTCTCTGCTCTCCCAACTGCTACCGCAACCCTATCTGGACTAATGATGATGATGCATATTGTGATCCAGACAAATCTGGTGACTTTTAAGACGGTTAAATACATTTACAAGGCACTGTACATGAAACATAGGGTGACATGTATTAGGGTTCCCATTAGTACAACTGTGTAAGGTTTTTCCCTTATCATCAGCAGATTCGAAGTTTGAAACCCGAGATACAGCAGCAAAGTAAGATAATGAACGGTGTGTCCTTGGTGATATTTTGATATAATAATTATAATAAAAGAATTACAATAAAACTGCAGGTCACCAATATTAGGCAATATTACCAGCAAACCAATACATCAGTCAGAGTTTAATTTTAACAGTGCACTGATGCATCAAGCTGCACATCATCTCAAAGAAAAAATAACAGTAAACTCACCAGAGACTGCACCATCAACACGGAAAGCCCAGCGACCAGGTATTCCAACATTAGTAGTGGAAGACAGGTTAGAGGTACTGGGTGCCTGAATGCTGAAATAATGTGTGTGGTTCTCAGTCATATAGCCTACCTAAAAAAGATAACTGAAATAAAATCATAGTAAATGTTATTTATTTGCCTACTTCTTATTGGAACATTATAAAGCATTGTACAATTAGTTAAAACATAAATGATCATGCTTCTCTTACCATCCATAATAGTGGATCAGGAGTGATGGATCCATAGTTCATCAGGACATAAGAACGGTTTTTGCTGTCAGAGATCAGGACGACTTGGAAAGTCACCTCCTTCAAGAGAAGAAAGATGTTAAAATTTGTCCTGCTTGGAGTCAGTGACTGAATTCTAAGGACAGACTATTACTCCTACATTAGGTTCTGATTCCATCTTCTCCCAAGTGCCAACCAAGACCCAGGAAGCAGAGAAGTTCAACCCAGGGAACATCCTGTTCATTTCATTAGTAGCTAGTTCAATCAAAGACCCATTTGTTGCTTGCTCATAAGAGATGTTTCCACTGGTGTAAGAGTAAATGTCAGTCCACAGTGGAGCAATGATGTCTTTGTTCAGAGTCAGATCATAGCCATTAGGGTAGAGGGGCTCAAAAGACAGGATACCATCCATACTGAGCTGAAAAAGAAATAATCACAACAGAATTCTGAGTAATAAAGTTACCCTAAAGACTCATTCAGTAGCTCAGAAAAAATATTACCAGTAAACAGGTCAGTAAACAGTCAATATTTAGCTGAGAAATCAATCATTAGAAAACAGAATAAATAAGTAAATCAAAACACATTTGAAATCTCAGTCATTTGCTGTTTGAATGTTTCACTGGTCTTTAATCAAATTGTAATCCAGACAAATGAGATGTGCACATCTATACAAATTTATACAAATGATCTGTAGTGAGGTTCATGGGATATATCAATGCCATATGGACCAAATACATTTAAACAGACCAAACACAGATTGAACCACTGTTTTCTTCCTACAGATGTTCTATGACGTGCACAAAAGATACATTTTGGATGCTTTTTAACAAGTGGATGTGTTTTGTTATCTTTTTAGGAGCCTTTATTATAGAATGGACAGATTCAGTTCTAAAATAAGCCTCAAGCTCTTTCAAAGCATTGTAAAATACTTCATATGCATAAATATGACTGCACTAATTGATTGTATTATGGATTACTGTGCCACATTTTCGACGGTTTATAAAATCAGTAAGCCACTGAAGGTTGTTGTGTTACAGTTGTAGTATGGTTGGTGGAAAATAAAGCTTCATTGCTGCCATCTGGTGGAACTGAGACATTGGTGCAAGCCATAAACGAACACTACAAAGAAAGTTTTTTTTCCCCATTTCATTTTTATGCTTTTTTCTTTCTATAAAGAGTGACTGATTAGTTCTCCTTCCAATCTATCCACTCCCTATAGTTTTAGTTTTGCATGCAAATAGTGTGGTATGCCTGGTAGGGACGATAAAAGTTCCGGTATTGGAATTTAACTCACTTGCCGCTTTTGGGCAGACAAAGGGGAGCTTGAATTGTTTGCCGCGAACTGCTGTCGGTGTTGGAAGAACGAGTCCTGGTAGGCTTGTAAGATCCACTTGCTTCTTCATGTTTGAAACATGGGTGTTATATTTACTTGTTTGTGATCACTTTGATTTTAGATGACTGAGGTTTGGTAAACACACCAAAAAGAAGTCCATTCGTAATTAGAAGTAGGTCTCCAGCCTGAGTACCGGTGGGTAGCGTTTCATTCATTGCGTAGTTAAAGTAAACAGGGGCGAAAAGCACTATTGGGTGGATTTGCAGATTGTTGCGGTGGCATTAAGCAACGTTGGGATGTGTTAACTTGAAGGGAATGTGCCGGTATTAAGTGTATTTCCCCTTAGTTTCATTTTTCCCCTCTTTCTTTCTACAATGGTAGGGTCTATACGGTGCTTAAGCTTCTGAAGGAGTATGATTGCAGGTTAAATAGGTATGTGCTATTTTGGGACTGAAGGTGTAATTTTGGCCTCCATATATACACTTAGAGGCATGTACATGGATGTGTGTACACACACACACACACACACACACACACACACACACATATATATATATATATATGTATGTATATATATGTATGTATATGTATGCTAGTAATAATGGTGCATAAGAACTATCTGCTTTCTGTATAGTATTTTCTAACTTTTGAATGTATACATAAATTGAGGTTAGAGATGTAGGTTCAAAGAGCTGTGGAGGTTTTATTTCATAAGCCTAAATAAAAGTATCTCTGGTAATGTCAGTTTGTCTCTTTGCAGTGGGTCAAAGCCTGGTTGTCTGCAGGCCACTGTTTTCCTCCGGGTTTTCTTTTACAGATACCTTCTGAGATATTTGCACTGAGACGCCTATTTTAAGGTATTTTCATATGCACTATTTTGAGATTTGCTGTTCAGCTGCCCATTGATATTATTTTTATATTTACATTTGGGAATAATATTTGCACTTGTGTGCCTATCTATGGTAGAGGTTTCATTAAAGAGTGTGTGGGTTAATTGCTCATTACAGTGAGACTTGGGTCATATTTCTTTGCCATAAATATAGCATTTTGATTTTTTTCCTTTTTCTTTTCTTCTTTTTTGTGTTTAGAAGTGTACAATTTCATCACTCAGATTTGTGCTGAGATTATTTTGGGATTTTGGTTTTGTTACAGGATATGCAGTTAGTTTGTGGTGTTTTGTTTGTTTTGATGATATAAATATTTTTTTTTTCTTTTGAAGTGTTGTGCAATAATTTTGGATTGTATTGCTTTATTTATATTTGAGGGTGTATTGAATTTGTACCCTTCTGAGCACTGTGTTTTTAATACCTAAACTGTGATAATTAAGGTTAGTGTTCATGCACCTCTTATTTCACACTGTTGTTGCTCTTAATGGTTATATTGGGAATATTGTGGACAGCTCTTCTTCTTAATTTTTTTTTTTGCTGAAAGTTAATAAATAAATTGTAAATATTGCGGAACAGCTCTGTTTAACTCATTTGAGTATTCCAGTGTGGGGCCCCTTACCCAGTAAATTGGGGTGGCGTAGTCTGAGTATGCTGTGTGGGGTGTTGTATAGGAATTCCTTCCTTTGACACCCGCACCAGTCACGCAGTGATTATACTCCACTAAGACACACTGGGAAATCATGATAAAGCACAGCCTCTCGTGGCATAACATATATATATATATATATATATATATATATATATATATATATATATATATATATATAGTAGGATGTGTTATTATATATACATACATACATACATACATACATATATTGCTGTCACGCCTCCCTCCAGCCCGGCTAATACTACAGCCAGTATGGCTGCCTCAGACTACAGTTCACAGAACTCCTCGCTCCGTCATGTGACTCAGGACTCTGTACCCTTTAGTTCTGTGTTGGGTTTCTGATTTTTTGACTTTCTGCTTTGGTTTATCAGCTGTGACTTTGGAAAACCCCTTTGGTATTAGAGATCTTAACCCAAGCCTCTGCTGCGAGCAACTGGTTCGGTCTGTCACCGTTACAATTGCTGAGTTCAACAAGTGTGTCATAATTTTTGCATTGACCACTTTTCCTGTGTAATTCCTCTGCAAATAAACAGCAATTGTGCATTAAATGTCACTGAGAAAATCCATAAGCCATGTAATTTGACAACGGGCACCCAAAGTTTTTCATGTGACACTACAGTTTTTTCAAAGTAGTTGGACACAGTAGGGGTTTATTAAGAATCCCCCAACACATCAAAATACCTGCGAAAGGCCAGCAAACAGCATGAAAGGCTTGTTAAGAAAAACCTCTACCTTCATCAAGCAACAGTTGTAAGCACCTGATTTTGAGTGTTGCACTATTTTTTAAACTTTATCATTGTACTTGAAGCTTGAATTATATATGGACTCCAGGGATGAAGGCCACAGTGTGTTGGTTCTTGTTGTTAGTACCTTCTCTGCCAATTCAAACAGTCTCACCTTCTCAAGAAATAAACTTTGCAGCATCGGTCACACAGGACCATCTGGTCTATGTCTTTATTGTGTCTCAGTTACTGATGTTCTGGTCATCCTAGTCAAAGGTCTAGTTGTGCCATCTCAAAGTGTGCTACGTTGCACACATGGCAAATGCGCCACTGTGCTGCACTTACCAGGCTTCCAACTGGTATCTGATTTATCTGATTTATGTTCCTCTTCAAAATGGTTGACACGATGCCGAACAAGCTAGCAAAACAATTCTTTATTATTGAGCACATATTCACAAACTTGCCATTCTGGGGCTGTTTCACCACTAAATCTTAACTAAGATGATCTTACAAGCTGTTGGTCAGAGCTTAGACCTTTTTAAGGCCATGCTTTAGAAAGGCAGGGCAAGGCAAATTTCTTTATATAGCAAATTCAAATTAGAAAATATGTAGATTAGGAATTAAAAACATGATTAAAACAACAGACTTACAAGAGAAAATGAAACAATAAATTAAAATTCAAAGCAAAAATCATATTAGGATAATACAATGCCATTACAGGATAGTGTTTTAAACTGAGCTGAAAGCTGTTCAAATAGGAACTTAAAAAGTGAGTCAACATAACTATCATTGTTTGTCTTGAGAGCCAAGCAAATGTAAGTATCCACTGCATAGCTGTGGTAGGAAATCCTGTCATCTTGTTGGATTTGGCCAAGAAGAAGCATGCATAAATTAAATAAGAGCGACACTAGAATCGAGCCCTGAGGCACACCACAGGTTACTGGCACTCACTGAGAAGCATTTCTATTTCGCCAAAGTAGTTTCTTCCTTACAGCTATGATCTGAACTAGTTTAGGACCGTTCCTAAAAGTCCAACTAAGTCTATGAGAATTGCACAGTTAGTGAAAGCAAAGGCAACACTGAGATTGTAGCAGTAGTAGAGCAGATATTTTTCCAGAGTCTGTATTTACACGAATGTCATTAATAACCTTATTAAGAGCAATGTCAGTAGTATGATTAGGGTAGAATCCTGACCAAATTTTTCTACATAGCTATTCAAGGACAGAAATCCAGTAAGTTGCTTGAAGATAATTTTTCCAATGAAAGTAAGATTTGAAAAAGATGTTATTACCTAAACGAGTTGCTTTTAGATATATTTCTTTTTTCAGAGGGGCTTCACAACAAAAGTTTTGAACGTGTTAGGAAAAATGCCCAACATGAGTGAGGTGTTGACTATCTGATAGTGAGTGAAAAACATTCTTTAAAAGTCAACTGGTAACATGTTAAGACTACAAGCAGATGATTTGAGATGACTCAGTGTATTGATTAAAATTTCATTATTAATAGCACTAAAGTGGGACATTTTAACCATGATATCTTTATGTGGCGATGGAGAGAACACTGGCTCATTGGTGGATGTAGATGTACTAAGGGTTTGTCTGATATTATGGATTGTTGGAAAAGTATGCAAACTCATTACGGTTCTCAGTTGATACTAAATCAGGGGCCATATATGTAGGTAACTTTGTTAGTTTGTCAACTGTAGCAAAACATATTTTGCTATTGTTAATATTATTGTTGATAATGCTGGAGATGATGGATTGTCTAGCTTTGCCTTCCCACATTCTCTCTTTTGGATTTGAATTGCTACTGCAATCCCTCCATGGTGCTTTCTGTTGGCATGACATGGTTTTAACTTGAACCAGGGCAATCTCACCAAAAAACACTAGCCGTTTTTGAGAAGCTATCCAGCAGAGCATCAACAGAGTCAGATGGCTTGCATGGTGCAGAACATGTTATTTAGATTTCTCTCAGATTTACACAGAGATGCTCAAAAGATCTTAAGTCACCAAATGATAACTGTTTGCATTGGAAAGAATCATCAATCAGAGCAGCTATACCTCCAGCTCTCTTGCTGGCATGTGAGACATTTTATACATTTAAAGTTTGGTGGAGTCGATTCAGTTAATACGGTTTCAGCACTACATTCATTTAAACATGTTTCTGTTAAAAGCCTAAAATCAAGCCCATGGATAAAATAAATAAAGGATTAAATAAGACTTGTTTGTGAGAGATATAATATTAAGGAGAGCTAACTCCAAACGCTGTGAGTCACGTTTTACATACTGCAGAGTGGATAATTCACAGTCACATTATCTGACTTGCACTCCTTGTTCTTTCTATTTCTAATAAGTACTGGAATGGAAGAGATGACCAGCACACAGGGCCCAAGCTTGTTTTGAAAACATGTACTGCCGACATCATCGCTGTGGAAGCACAAACCTGAAAAATATTAATTTACCAGATTCCTTGAGAATAGGGTGACCTCTTCCCTTTCAATAGAGGAAGGTGGGTGGAGCTCTTGCTGATGATGGGTGCTACAGATGGTGGGGAGCTCTATTTAATAGTTAATTGATTTGAGTGAGGTTCAGTGTGGCAGCTTGAACTAACTCCTTGAATGGTGAGTGTGATGTGGAGGGTTGTCATTGGGCTTCTGAGGCAGTAGAGCAGGGTGGAGGAGAATTTGGCCTGTTTTTTTGCTGAAAATGAGGGCTGGATGACAGGGAAAGTGAGAGACCCATCACAGCTGAAACCAGCTTCTCCATCGTTGGTGGGAGGTTTGGATGGGGTAAGGGAGGGAGGTGGAGATGGAGGATAATGTGGATTGCTCATGCGATGCAATAAATGCAGCTCTGTCAGGGCGTTGTCAGTGGAGGAAGAATGTTGTGGCTCTGAGGTGAAAATAGAGTCCTTGGCTGTTGAGTGCAGATGTGGCTTCACCAATAAGGATGGGTAAGTTGCACATGGAGGCAATGTGAAAATGTATGTAACAAAAGTTACTAAGCAGCAGTTTTGCCAAGTAAAGACTTCTTTCTGATGCAGGTTGCTGTGTTCATGGCTTCAAAAAACACAAAAACAGCAGCAAGGAAGAATAGATCAACTCAGCGAAGGTGTGCTGTGTGAGCAGTTAGAATTTAAAATGATACAAGGAGTTGATGCAATGGCTTCAAAGTTAAACCGAGAAAGTTACACCCAACAACCTGGGCATATGCCCTGTCGGTTCAACCGGCCTTCAGGTGACTTTAACATGTCTGAATAAAGAAAGGCAGCAGATCACATGCTGTTGCTAAACCTAATTTTAAACTTAAAGCATTATTCCATTTAATTGCTACACCACAATTCTGATGAGTGCTAGACACAACTGTGATGCTTTGTCAAGCCAAGAATGCAGCCTAGAGGGACTGGGAGAAAAATCTCTTTTAATGCAGCCAGACTGGACTTCAGGCTGCAAAGCTACGGTATTCTCCAAGACACAAAAATGTTTCTCTGCTTAGTATACCTCCTACTCCATAGACAGCCCATAGACTTAACAAGTTGTGCTGTGGATATGAAATGCCAAAATCTAACTTGGGTCTTACCCTGCCCTTCTCTCTCTGTTTTTTGTTGCTTATAATGATTTATGATGGAAATAATCCTGGAAGGCATAATGCAACATGTTTTAAAGCACTGTGTGCTGTTTTTCTACTTACATATAATTGTGAGTATTGTTTTCCAAAGTAGAAGAATGGATGGTCAAGCTGGATCAGTGTAGAACTTCCATCAATAGTAACAAAATATTGAGTAGAACCAGATAGAACAGGAAAAAATATCATAGATGGATCTGGAAGAAAGTGGATAACCATACTCAAGTTTTTTGGATTTATAATAAAAAAAGCATAAATAAGCATAAATATTCCAGCCGAAATAATGATAAAAAGTCCTAACATGGATAGTTAGAGATTGGTTTCTTGTGGTACGGACAGCATAGCTACAATCAGATCTGAAAATTGATTCAAACCCAAATATAGTTCGAGAACACTTTTTGCCTGACCTGACCCACATCAGCATGTTTTGAATCTGAACCTGATAGTTTGACAAAATTCTGTCTGAAACTGCAACCCAACAAAATTCTGTCTGAATATAATCCTTTTTATTTTAGAACCTGCACACTGCGTAGTGTATTTCAATACTATTAGAAGTGTTGGAATACACTACATCAGGTATTAGTTCAGCAGGAACCTTGTGAGACTCAACTATTGAGCAATTAATGTTGAAATAATCAGTAATTTAGAGAAGTTATTCTAAACAAACATATTTTCTAAGTAAATCTGTATGAGACTCAGTAGTTATTGTTTAGTTGATAGTGAACTACCCTAATCATTAGTTCACTATTACCTACTTAGTAATTAACTAATAGTCCTTGGCAGTTAATAGTAGTTATTGAAGTGTTAATTCAGCACTACTCATTCATTCCAACTTAGTTCCTAATGGTTACTTATTAACTACTACATCTAGGTTTGCTAAGTTTTGGTCCTACCTGGTCAGAGTACGCATGTGTGCATTATTACAGTGACATTGTGAGCAAATGTGAGCAAATACTCATGATATATTTAAAGTATGCAGATAATTTGATGATTACACATGACATTCGGTCTATATGCACAAATAAGAAAACAGACATTTTGTGAGAAACAGGCACAGTATCCTATTAACATTTGCAAACCAAGATCTGATTACATGCAAGATAAGATTTTCAAGCATGTATATCAGTACATTACCTGTGCAATACGCTGCAGAGCAGAGGTTTGGTTTGACTCGTACACAAAGTCATTTCCTGGGCAAGCTTTCACTTGAATTGGAAAAGACTTGAAATAGCAGCAGTCTCCAAAATTGCTACTGCAGATTTGTCGGACTACCACTCCATCTTCCAGGCGTGGATGAGAGCCATTGAGCCACAGTGGGGTGTTGGTGCCACACCTGTTTGGACTGACACATGATTCTGGCATCTTGGCACTTTGTCCCTGATAGAAAAGCCGATACCAGCCCCCCAGTTTACACTGGTATCACATTGTAAAGTTGTGGTGGAGTCAGTGCTGATTCTCCAAGTATCATTCAGGGCAGTATAGCTGTAGCAGGGGTCTACACTGGAGCTGCTAAAAGAAACTATAATTGAAATAGGGTTTATATTAAATTGTCAGTGACATTATTTACCCCATAATTAAAACTGAATTTAGTGTTGAACATGTATTGATATCTGATTAGCCCTTTCTTTTTGAAAGAAATTGATAACTTGATATAGAGATCAAAATCCAAGGAGTTTTATAATAGAAGAATTTTCTCCAACCTGTGTTATTTAGTTTATATACAGAAAAAAAGGTAGTAAAGAGGACTCTTACTGTACCTGCACAGTATGAAGAAACAAGGATTGTTACATCTGGTTTAACAAGTTTATAGACATAATAATTTCCTGGGCAAGCCTTGATTTGAATGGGGTTGGATTTGTAGTAATTGCAGGAATTGAACAGCCAGCGAGATCCAATTACGTCATAAGTCACAATTCCATCCCCAACCTGAGGATGTGAACCTCTGAGCAGCAGCGGAGTAAAACCACCACATGTAGTGGAAAACCCACACCACTCAGACATTTGAGCACTTTGTCCTTGAAGACAGTCGATACCAGCCCTTCCATTCTACAAGGGTGTCATCATGTCCTCTGTAGTTTATACGTGTATTTCTCCAGTAGTTGTCCAGGGCAGTATAGTTATAGCATGGGTCAAAGCTGGAATTCAGAAAACAGAAACAAATAAAGTTATGTGGCAATCTGGTAAAGAGCAGGAACTGCTGTAAATGTAATTTGCAGCAATTGGGGCTAACAAGAGTGTTTGTGTTATGTTTTGATCCATAATTCCTAAAATGATTTCCACACTCTTTGCCGGCATGTGGACAATGCTGATTGAGTTGCAAGTCTGTGCACATAAGCGATGTTTAAAATCAAAAATTGATAATGCCATAGAAAATGGAGTGTTACTTTTAAGAGTTATATATATATTTTTTACATTTTTTAGCTTATGAAATTTTAAAAAAAGATCATTACAGCTACATACTTATATTGGTTTCTTGGATGACTCCACTTGAGAAGTTGGCTGAAGTTAATGTGGTGATATCTGCAAGAACATATTTTTTAATATTAAAAGAATTTCAGGCATTATGCTAAAATTGCAATGTTTTAAACAAAATGTCTTAAATTATACCTGTACAGTAAGCCAAATTACATATGACAGGCTTGATGAATTCATAGACATAAAAATTCCTGGGCACGCTTTGAGTCAAATGGAGGTTGTACTGTAGTAACTAGGGCAGCAGATTCCTCCACTATGACCACAGATCTGATGGGTGACTATTACATCCTGTATCTGGGGATGTGAGCCATTTAACCAGAGAGGACTAGCAGTGGTACAGCCCCAACTACAGCGCTCTGACAAGCGTATGTTCATCCCATGATAAAGAAGACGATACCAGCCGTTCCACTCAAAGTCTCGATCACAGACATTATCTGCTGATTCGTTATTGGCTCTCCAGGGCTGATCCAGGACCGTATAGTTACTGCATGGGTCATAACCAGAGACTGCTGTAGTGAGTAGAGCTGTTAAAGACACACACACACAAAAACACAAGACTAAATTGTTTAATTGAAAAAAAGGTTTATTAACCCTCAAATGCATAAAGGGTATAATATAGAGTGTGATGTTTTTGAAAACTGTATCAATAAAAACATTTCGTCATCATCCATGTATTCCTCAAAAGTCTTGTTTGTGAGCCTCATGAATGCCATTTATATATTTCTTTATATGTACATTTATATGTTTCTTTCATATATACATTCTTGCATCACCATCCACACATTCTTTGTAAAGGGAGCGAAAGGTGACCCCTTTAAATTTCCTTTGAATACTCAATATGGAATTTTTTTAACATTTTGTCGGTGAGAATATTGGTAGCACTTTGCTTTACAGAAGGTAATAAATGGGTAATGATATGGTAATATAATGGTAACAAGTTTAACTAGCCTAAAAATTACATGCTAATTGTCTAGCTCTCTCTGAGTAATACATTCGTTTGTCATTTCAACAGTTAAAACTTGGAAATGAAATGGTAAAATAATTAATAATTACAATTAAAATAATAAAGTAGTGTTAACCTAAACATCACATGCTCATTAGTTGTTTATGAATAGTTAATTAATAATTGCAGAATAACCGGTTGGTAATACAATTTTCCAGTTGATACAAAAAAGTTTCATTATGTACTGTTTGCATAACAGCAAACATAAGTAACACTAAATAATTAGTCCGTTGTAGCAGCTTTGTGTTTTTTAAGATTTATAAGGATAGGAGCTCTAACCGCGTAATATCTGCTTAATCAGCATATCACACAAATTCTTTTATCCTCATTTTCAATATTCATAATTTTTGGGGTCTACTAGAATACATTTACATGCTTCAGTGTTCCAAAGACTCTAACTTTCTTATACTGTACATCTGTATTCACCCTGAAACACTCTTTTAGTCAGTGTCAAAACTCCCTAAGAGCAGGAGGAAGAAACACACACACACATATCATATATATATATATGTGTGTAATTACCTGTTTGTGCATTTGCAAGCGGAAAGGAACAGAAACATATATTGAGCCACCTCTTTTAAGTGTAACTTCCAGTTAACTGAGCCAGTTACAGAGAAAAGCATTTAAAGAACATACTTATCATTAATATGATTGCCACCATCTTCAGAGATTCCCCAGGCATTATAGCTGAACTCCTCATTGCCACATAGACTTAAATGTTCCAATCTGTAAAAGATAAACAAAAAACATGAACCTTACTTTAGATCTTGTACCAGCATGTGGTGTCGTCAGATCTTATGAGCTGTAGATCACTAACCTCAGACAGAAGAGCACTGCTCTGTGTTCCTGAGCTCAGACTGAAGCACTTCACTGAGCACCAAGTTTAAATGTGTTCAACTCCCCAAACCTGCTTTTCACAAAGCTGATAAGGAAATGTATCCTTGCACGCTATGCTTAGACTGTATTAGTGACAAATCGTTTCCAATATTTGTTAATATTGGAAGCTTTTTTTCTGTATGTGTTTATTAATAATTTATTATTAATTATTGTTTTTAACATACAGGGCTGAGGTGTTTTAAAAGGGTGTTCTGCAGGGGCACTGACTGATGACGTTTCATTACACAGTGAACAGAATTAGGCCTGTTCAGTTAGATTTAGTGCAATGCAGCTTGTAATATATTGAGTGAAATCATTGTGGGTATAGGTTTATTATCATTCGTAAGGTATTTTATTATGTACTACAGGTTCTATTTTATCTGTTCCTGCTAATTAAAACTCAGAAAAAATGAAAAACTAAATAAACACTATGATGTTATATTTTTGCCACATCCCCTAGCCCTAATTCAGGTCCATTTTTCTTGTTGACAGAACCAAGAACTAATTCTAATAAATGTAATAATTACATATATATTACACATATGCATACATGTAATATTATCCAAACACTTCATTTACCAATTTACAATATTTCTCTACCAATGCTAATCATATGCAAAAGTATTGTTGTGATGTATTAATAAAACAATTATTATTACTATATAGCAATTATTATTCCTGTTATTATTATTATCATTGTTATTATTGTTGAAGTTGCCCTTAGGGTGCTGGCAGCTAACGTGATAATCCCAAAGATATGTGACTTGATGATCTTGAACCAAAATCAGATTTGAAAAAATTATTTAAAGATAAGCTAAAAGCTGTGAAAACTCCACATCAACGGCCTAATTAGAACTGAGTGTGCTTTTCAGACTGCAACCATGGCAACATAAACAACCCCATGGCTTTTTATTTTAGCTGTTCTTGTCTGACAGAACGTTGATTCATTGTAAGATAGTGGATTATGGTGGTTCTGAAAGTGACTATGGTAACTGTCACAAAGCACACTTTGTTCTTCGCCAGCTTCTTGTCTTAGTCATACCTGTTGGACAAGATATAATGCACAAGTAAACTCATGAGGAATGTCAAAGGTGACAGGTGACAAGTGAAAAGCAACCAAACAAACTGCAAAGATGAACTGCTGCTGTGCTGAGAGGATGGGGGGGAGGGATTCTCTTCAAATCTACAGTTCACGTGAAAGGCAGGTTTATTAGTCAACACTGTGAATTTGGGTGAAAAGCGACAGGTTTTATGTACGTGTTTTAAGCCCATGAGCATATAAAGCTGGTCTCTAAACCTCCAGTTGAGTAAATGACTTGAATCTCACACCTCGCTATTCATTTACAATCCTTTAGGCAATGATTCAGTCAAGAAATTTCATCACAATTTGATTTGCTGATTTTGGTTCGATTCACTGAATATACTGAATACTAAAATGTGACCGGAGGGTCTATTTCCACAGTAATGAAGCAGACATTTCAACATACACCCTGCTTTTTCTGAGGGGTTAAAAAAATAGCCAGATAATTTAAATTTGGACAAAAATTATTTTCTCTACATCTTTCAGTTCTTTCATTCACACCTCTACTTTTTGGGAAGAATGTCTCGTCACTGCACCCATCTTACATCTCCATCTGAGACAAAAAAGAAAGATTCCCTCAAAAGATTTCATTTAGCATTCGGGTAACTAAACGCCTTCTTAAGATGAATTAAGTGCATTAGCATTTCTCAAAACTCTTCATGCTTAAAGTGGTGCATTATTTATTTGGATATTTAAGTCAAGTGACATGATAATTAATCATTAGAGCTGCACTATGTATGTTTTGGGGGTTTGGAGACCTCTCTGGTGGAAATGCATAATTGCATGCAACATAACATGGGCTGTGCTTTGGACCCCTCTCCAAATGGATGAATGTGATGACTGTGAGAGTGTTGAATTTAAAGGGAACTCAGTCAAAACTTGGTGAAAGATGTGTCTACAGAAGATGTGGGTGAAGTATCTACTATTGCCATGATATCTTGATCAGTATAATGTAGAGCCCTAAACATTGAGCTGGATCTTCTTTTTGAGCCCGTGGGTGTGACGTTGATACATAAAGCCAAATGATGTGATCTGAAAAACTCACTCAAAGCCACTGACTTTTAACATTTAATATCAATTTAATATATATTTATATTTATATAATATATATTTCATATTTCAAGCTTTACAGGGCAACTTACAGCAGCGCACGCACACCACATTTTAGCATATTTTATTTCTCCTGACTCAGCAAAACTACTGTCGATTTGAATAAAAATCTTACGTAGTGCAGCCTGGGCTTTGGCCTCGTCTTGACTGAGGTGGGCTGAATTTCTCATGAATGGGCTTTAACGCTGTGAAGAGGTATGTTATTTGTCCAGCTCTATCAGAATCTTAAGACTTATTCTCTCATAATTATGAATCATGCAGTGCATTTATATTGATTTGCACTTAGTAGACGCTTTTACAAAAAATGACAAAGACTTTTAAAAGTGTTTTGTTGTCCACTCAGACATTATATTCTAGCTAGAACAAATAGGTTAGATTCCAAACTACCCTTGAGCTCAGACATTGCCAGAAACAGAAGCCAGTGCTAATACCTAGATAGAAAGATAAAGAATGAAACATAGCATAAGTGCAGTACAGTGAATCAACTTTGTTCATCAACTTATATGCTTTACAAAGTGAGGGGTCTTCATTTGTTGTTTGAAGACCACAAGGCAGTCTGTTCAGACAGCCAGTCAATGTTCATTCTACCACCTGTGTGCCAGGACAGAGTGTCAGTAGCCCCTTTGAAACTGATCTAGACATGTTGTAGTTATGACAGTGAGAAATTATGCCGGCCCACATATGTGGACAGTAGTGCCCGGTTGTGCCTTGTGGGTGCAGACAATTACAAAATCCACTGGACTGCAAGTTGTTATTGATGAACTTTATTTGATGTTTTCCATTACCCCCATTACAACTGTCTAGTGACAAAAAAGAAAACATGGAAATATAACTTTTACAGATGATACACTGAGCATTTAATAACATGACTTGGTCCATAGTGTTAAGACATCCCTCAGACAGGCCCAAGACAAGCTTATGCAGAATCAAAGTTGACCAAATGTCTCCAATAATGTTTTTGAAATCTTGTAATACTTGTAAACCTTCATATTTGAATGTTTTCCTGCTCTAGAACCATCATTTTAACCTCATAAAGGGTTTGAGAATAAGCCAATGATTTAAATCATGTTTTAGAGGAAGAGTACCAGTACAGGAAAACTGTTCTACAGAGTTAAATTAATCAGTGTAGTGAGGAGTAAAAAAACGACAAACTCAACACAGCATGTACTTACTGTATAGACTTTACAGTTGTAATACAGAAACTCTCTCAAACTCAAGATTACCCCAAAATAAATGAACAGACTTATTTTATGTGAACACAAGGACAGAATGACTTTTGCAATTAGCAGCAAAATAATTACCGCATGAACTCGAGAATTTAATGTTTGTAATATTATAAGTACTGCAGGCAGTAGAGGTTCAATGATACACTCAAGACATTTTCATGTTATTTACGCAAAATTCAAATGAAGAAAATTGATGACTACAATGTTCTTACACAGCTTAGTAATGACAGTAGAGCTGGGAGGCAGGAGGACTGCTGGAGTGAGGTTCTGATTGGTGCTGATTGATGGTGAACATTAGTGTTTAAATAATGCATTTGCATTAAAGAGCATAATTAATAGAATATCCATTACCCATGGTGCATTATCACACCTCCATGATGCTCACTGTCACAGTTTACATTGTGATTCACAATTCCATGGTGCATTTTTACACCTGTAGTAGGCAGTCATGTACAACTATCTGCCATGAATACTGTTCTTAAGAAAAAAACTGTAGAAAACTAATTGTAGGAACTCCAACCTCAGGCTAAAAATCTACAACCCTGCACCATTTGTGCCTAATCAAAAGCACAGTTTGTATATAATTCATTTAAATTTGATACAAACTAAAGTCTAAACATGTTGTTTATTTGCACAGTTTGTTTATGCAATGTAGAATAATGCAGTTTGATCAAGAGTACATTTTAGTTAGTAGTTTCAAGAAAGGGTACAGTATTAAATGCCAAAATACTATTAATTTAATAAGCAAATATATTCTGAGAAATTATCCCACAGAGAAGTATAACCAGATTCTTTGAGCTCACAGAATCAACTATCATGGACTTTTCTTCTGAACGCGTTTCACTTTCACTCTTACAGTGGATGCCACACCTCTCCTCCTCAGTTCATCCTGAAGCTGAAAAGAAATATGTTTATATTTAATATCTGTTTTGAATTTCCACAGTATTTTTATAATTGAGGAGCAGGAAAGAGATTTGAATGCAATGATGAATGAGAAGTAACAGTGTAGAACTACATTGAATGTTTATTAGAAAGTTTGCAATAAGAAATAAGGGATTAATTTACATTCTGCGAAATGATCATGTGGTTGTTGGTGTCTGTCAGTTTATAGCTTGTCAGGACTTTCAGTCGCACTGCCAGAACGTGTTCTGTGGAAAACGCACAATCAAAATATCATCTAGCAGTATCACTATATATATTTTCTTCAATATGGGGGTCACGAGATAATACATGCTCTGAATCAAATACAGCTAGATTTCATGCTATAAATGCATGACACCAGGAACACTTTGTATAGTTATTTGTAATGAGAGGACTGTAGATGGGCAATCAGTAGGAGATCAAACAAATACCTCAAATATCCTAGTTAATTTGTGAAGACATCACCCAAATGTCAATTACCATTACTTTACCATTTTATTACCAACTTGTTGCTACATTTAGTAACTTAAATTAGAATGTAATTTTTAGGTTAGTAAAGCTTGTTAAAATAATATCACCATATTAATGGAAAGTGGTACCAATCTTTCTTTATCTTATCTTAATTTGTTAACTAAAAAAACAAAATGTAAGTTTAGATTAGTAGAACTTATTACCATTATTTTTTCATTTTATCACCAGATTTCCATTAAATTACAAACTCATTAATTAGTAACAACTCAAAAATTCCTGTGAAAAAATAAGTACAACTTGTTACCAAACTATTACCATGTTATTACCCACTAATTACTGATCTGTAAACTGCTACCAGAACATACTTATTATTCGTATTCATATTCATTTTTATTCATGTTTTATATGACGACTCTGTAACATGGCCACTATATTTACTATATTTACTATAATGTGTTCTGCTTGTAAAGTGCCTGAACTAGTCAGACACGTGCGGTTAAAATAAGAAGATGAGGCTTTACTGATTGGGACGTATAGCAAAGGTCAGATCCAGGAAAAACCAGATACAAGGGCGGGTCCAGACAAGCAAGATTCAAAAAGATTTAGCACTGTGACTTAACAATGACAGTGAATCTGAAGCTGGTGTGGGACAAAGCCAAATGGGAGAATCCAATTTTAATTGCTACACCCCTTGATGTGACACTCCACTGACAAAAAATCAATGAAAAATAAAACATGTCCAAAGAAATTATCAATAAATCTGCGTAAAACCACTAAGCAGGTCTTTGTTACACTGCACTGTGCTTTGTTATACTGCACAAAAATACAACCACAGGATTTGCTTTGAAGTGGTTTAACAACATTCTGCAATTTTAGTGAACAAATACAAAAAGTAGATCTTACCCTGTGGGGTAGTTGTTGGTGTATTGGTGACAGTTATGTTGCTAGTATCTGAAATGAAAAATTGTATGTTAAAAGAAAGTGTTGGAGTAGTTATTTAAATACAATCCTATTTCCAAAAAAGTTGTGACGCTGTGCAAAATGTAAATAAAAACAAAACGCAACGATGTGCAAATTGTTGAAACACTATTGTAACGACTTTTAAGGATGGGTGGAGGGAGGACCCGGGAGCAGGTGTGGAGACAGAGCTGGTTTATTTATACACAACACAAAAACCACTGTCTTAATTAAGACAAGACGCTCACTGGGAATTTTCAGTCCTTTCCTTTCTTTTCTTTTCTTTGCTTTCTTTAGCTCAGCTCAGCTCTCTTCGGCTCTGCTCTCACACCTTCACAGGTCTCCTTCTCTCTCTGGGCTCTGACACCTACTGAGGAAAGAGATGGCTATAAGTAGGCTGGCATAAACAAGACACAGGTGAATATCATCAGCTACTTAGCCCGCTGGTTCAGCCCGACTGGCTTCTCTGTCCTGCATTCAACGCTCAGCCACGCCCCCTTCTCCACATACCCCCACCGCCTGACTCAGGCCAGGCAGTTGTCCAGCCAACAACCCACTCCCCCCCCTCCTGCCCGAGCGGGAGAGGAAGTCGGCCACCACCATCCAACGGAGCCCCCAGCCTGTGAATCACTTCAAATCTAAAGGGTTGAAGAGCTAGATACCAATGAGTGATTCTGGAGTTGGAGTCCTTCGTGCGGTGGAGCCACTGGAGAGGGACGTGGTTGGAACAGAGGGTGATAAGGCTTTACTGATTGGGACGTATAGCAAAGGTCAGATCCAGGAAAAAACAGATACAAGGGGAGGTCCAGGCAAGCAAGATTCAAAAAGATTTAGAACTGTGACTTAATAATGACAGTAATAGGGATTATACAGCACCCTTGACCACAACTTTGCACTTGCTTAAACAGTCTCTGTGTCTGGGTCTCTATCCAGGAACATCTGCAGCTTTGATTCAGCATCAGAAAAAGAATTTTTAAATAATATCTAAATTATGTCTTAATTATCAGAAAGCTTAAAATGTGCTACTGATGTGTTTACAGTAGAGAATCCATCAGAGAACCTCTGCAGGTAACATATAAGCTGGTGTTGTACTGATGAAGGGAGTAACGAGGAAAGAAGGCAGCAGTGGCGCCCCAGTACTGCTTTCCACTATTGGCACAGTGCTGGAGCCTCATTAAATGAGCCTGTCAGTCAGACAGCCCATGAACCAGAAGACTACAGAGGCATCAAACTGCATTGTACTGAGTTTGTTTCCCAGTGGGAAAGGCAGGATCAGAGCTGGCTCTTCCTAATAAGCAACATAAGCAGCCTTTTTTAGAGACTCCCAAACAACTTTGGGGTATAAGATCCGCGAGTGCATGGGAAAAAAGTGACTGGTTGCATCTGGTGATGACAAACAGAAAAGAAAAAAGAGAAGATGTTGCAAAAAAGCTTTTAGTTGGATAACAAGAGGTAGTTGATCTGGATAGTGAAAGCTGAGACGGGTACCTGTAATTTGTAATTATTTATTACTACTTGGTCTCTGCTACTTTGATTTTGACGGCCATTTTTTTCAAAATCTGTACACTGTACCAGAATGATGTTCCTTTGTTACACTATTTTTTTGTTTTGTGCTATTCTGTTTATTGTAGGTAGAGACATTAAAATAGTCGATTAAAAAAAAATCAACATTTTTTTTACAATTTTATTTTTAAATCGTTTATCATCAGGCCATTTGGGGGCAACCCTGCTTAAGGCAACCAAAAGGCTGGAGCAGGCCTTGGGGAGGATGGTGGATTTGCTTTGAAGTGTTTTAACTACATTCTGCATTTTTAGTGAACAAATACAAAAAGTTGTTCTTACCCTGTGGGGTAGTTGGTGGTGCACTGGTGACAGTTATGATGCTAGTATCTGAAATGAAAAATTGTATGTTAAAAGAAGGTAATAGAGGAGTTATTTAAATACAATCCTATTTCCAAAAAGGTTGGGATGCCGTGCAAAATGTAAATAAAAACAAAACACCATGATGTGCAAATCATGTAGCCTCTTATGCTCCTTGGAACCACCAGTGGTTCCAAAATGCACTTCGTCATATTCTTCACAACTTTCATATTTCATAAGCTACATTCAAAAGGTGTTTGTCATATGAGAGCTGTAACTGTCTTCCTTCCAGTCAAATAGATGAGTAATGTAATTTTAAACCCTTATAATAGAAGAAGCTGAAATTTTTTTACAAATCTGAGCTATAAAATATAAACAGATCTGCTCTGTACAAATGATTTTTTATAAAATAATACAAAGAGTGTCTAAGATTTTTGGCTTTCAGCAGTAAATTGTAAGCATATTGCAATATGAGTATGATCATAAAACACATGCTCTGTTAATTTGAGGGGAGCTTTTACAAAAAATAAATAAATAAATAAAATAAAAATTTGCATTTATGTCATGCAGTTACTGAATAATTTGCCTTAAGATTTGGTCATGAAAATTCAGATGGACAAACCAAAATATACCCTGGAGCATAAGAGGTTAAACACTATATTTCATTGAAAATAGTACAAAGACAACACATCAAATGTTGAAACTGAGAAATGTTATTGTTTTTTGAAAAATATTTGCCCATTTTGAATTTAATGCAAACAACATGTTTCAAAAAAGTTGGGACAGGGACAAAAAGGCTGGTAAAGTTGTGTATTACTAAAAAAAGGCTGGTAAAGTTGTGTAATACTAAAAAAAACACCTGGTGGTTGATTAACAAAAGCATAGTAACATGATTGGGTATAAAACAGCATCTCAGAGAGTCTGAATCCTTCAGAAGTAAAGATGAGGAGGGGTTCACCACTTTGTGAAAGACTGCACGGGCAAATAGTGCAGCAATTCAAAAATAACGTTTCTTAACATAAAATAGCAAAGAACTTTTGCTTTTCATCATCTACAGTACATAATATCATTAAAAGATTCAGAGAATCTGGAGAAATCTCTGTATACAGGGGACAAGGCCAAAAAAACAGTATTTGCTGGCAGGGGTCTTTGGGCCTTCAGGTGGCACTACATTAAAAACAGACATGATTCTGTAGTGGAAATCACTGTATGGGCTCAGAAACACTTCTGAAAACCACTGTCTATGAAAACAGTTTGTCGCTGCATCCACAAATGCAAGTTAAAACTCTAAAGCGCAAAGAAGAAATCATACATTAACAGGACCCAGAAATGCTGCCACCTTCTCTGGGCCCAAGGTCTTGGAATAGTGGAAAATGGAAAAGTGTCCTGTGGTCCGACAAATCAACATTTGAAATTCTTTTTGGAAATCATGGACACTGTGTCCTCAGAGCTAAAGACCACTCAGCCTGTTATCGGTGCACAGTTCAAAAGCCAGTATTCATTATGGTATAAGGGTGCATTAGTGCACATGGCGAGGGTGACGTGCACATCTGTGATGGCACCATTAATGCTGAACGATATATACATGTTTTGGCAACATATGCTGCCATCCAGACAATGTCTTTTTTAGGGAAGGCCTTGTTTATTTCAGCAAGACAATTTCCAAACCACATTCTGCATGTATTACAGCAGCATTGCTCCGTATTAAAAGAGTCCAGGTGCTAAACTGGCCTGCTTGCACCTGTCACCACTGAAAACATTGGGCGTATTATGAGATGAAATATACAACAGAGGAGACCCCGAACTGATGAGTAGCTGAAATCCTATATCAAACAAGAATGGGAAACATTTCACTTTCAAAACTCCAGCAGTGTCTCCTCAGTTCCCAAACACTTACAGAGTGTTGTTAAAAGAAGAGGTGATGAAGCACAGCGGTAAACATGTCCCTGTCCCAACTTTTTTGAAATGTTGTTGGCATCAAATTCATTATGTGCATATATTTTTTCAATTTCAGCAATTTCAGCATTTGATATGTTGTCTTTATACTACTTCAAATGAAGTATAGAGTTTACACGATATGCATATCATTGCATTTTGTTTTTATTTAAATTTTGCACAGCGTCAAATTTTTTGGAAATGTGGTTGTAAATAATCTTACATGTGTGGCCATGGGTTACTTTGCAGGGTAAGAGAACTAAAAACTAAAGAACTATTTTACTGTAAATTCTGGAAAGTGTACTTATCATATGTAAATATGATTTTATGATATAAATTGTTATAGTTGGTGACTGCACATTCAATCTAGGTGCACAAAATCCTATTAATATTTACAAATCAAGAATTTATCTCATGCATGAATTTTCATGTAATTTATTTTCATGTAATTATTATCAGTATATTACCTGTACAATAGGCTGTAGTGCAGGTATTTGGTTTGACAAACTTGTACACATAGTAATTTCCTGGGCAGGCTTTCACTTGAATTGGGAACGATTTGTAAAAGCAGCAATCACTGCCACTGCTTCCACAGATTTGCCGGACCACCACTCCATCTTCTACATGTGGGTGAGAGCCACTGAGCCAAAGAGGGCCATAAGTGCCACACATGTTTGGACTGACACAGGTTTCTGGCATCTTGGCACTTTGTCCCTGATAGAAAAGTCGATACCAGCCCACCCAGTTCACATACATATCACAGTTTAAAGTTGTGCTGGAGTCAGTGCTGCTTCTCCAAGTATCATTCAGGGCAGTATAGTTGTAGCAGGGGTCTACACTGGAGTTGCTAAAAGAAACTGTCAGTGAAACATAAGTTATTAAGCTTATTCTATTGTCATTTATACATTTTACAAAATTAAAATTAAATTATTTTTTGAGCATGTATTGGTGTTTGATGCTTAGCCCTAAATATCCTATTATAAGGAATAAATCACACAATATACAAATCAAAACCCCAAAAAAGTTTATACTAAAGGGTTTATATCCAAACTGCACCATTTAGCCTATAAGAGTAATAAAATCATCAAAGAATAGACAAATGATACAGTAGAGGTAGTGAAGAGGAGTTCTGCTGTACCTGCACAGTATGAAGGAACAGGGATCGATATATCTGGTTTAACAAGTTTATAGACGTAATAATTTCCTGGGCAAGCCTTGACTTGAACTGGGTTGGATCTGTAGTAATTGTATGAGTAGTACCAGCGAGATCCAGTTACTTCACGAGTCACAATTCCAGCCCCAATCTGTGGATGTGAACCTCTGAGCAGCAGTGGAGTAAAACCACCACATATCATATAATTCACACACCATTCAGGCATTTGAGCACTTTGTCCTTGAAGATACAGTCGATACCAGCCCTTCCATTCTACAAGGGTGTCATCATGTCCTTGGTCGTATGTGCGTGCATTTCTTCAGTAGTTGTCCAGGGCAGTATAGTTATAGCATGGGTCAAAGCTGGAGTCTGTTGCTGTGAAACAGAACCCAAGACAGATATGTGGCAACCTTAACAATAACAGCTGTAAATGTAATTTTCTACAAACAGAATTTAGTGAGAGGTTTGGTCATAATTCATAAGATGTTTCTCATGATCATTGTATTTACCCATAAACGGTCTCATATGATTATCATATATTAACTAAAACTTGTTAAGGAACTTTAAGAGTCAAAGTACACTTGATTTTAAGTGTGTATATGTGTGTGCAATATGGTTGGCCTAGGTATTGTGTATTGTAGAACTTGGGGCCCTGTTTGTGCACATATTTATAAATGAATGTAATGCGTCAGAGATGCAATGACAACATAAACAATTGATGCCCTGTTTCATAATATGTTGTCATCTCAGCAGCAGGCAGAATAAACCATTAACTAATTTGGTGGGTTTTCGACCCTCACCTGCCCTACTCTAGTGCATATAATTTATATATAAATCATTTATAAATAATTTTAAGTTTTAAATCAAGTGTACCATGATTAAGAAATTTTAATTATAATGATTTTGGTCATAGAAATTAGGGGCATTAATTTTAAGAGCTACATATAATTTTTTATTTATTTAATATTTGCTAATAAAGGTTAATTATCTTTTTTATTTTAAAAAAGTTCTCACAACTACATACTTATATTGGTTTCTGTGGTGATGACTCCGGTCGTTGAGAAGTTGGCTGGAGTTAGTGTGGTGATATCTGCAAGAAGTATTTTTTTTTTTACTTTAGATGAAAGTCAAGCATTATGCTAAAATGACAAACCAAGAATGTCTTAAATGATACCTGCACAGTAGGCTGAATAACAATACCCAGGCTTGATGAATTCATAGACATAAAAATTTCCTGGGCACGCTTTGATTCGAATGGAGGTTGTACTGAAGGGACAATAGCATCTGCCAACATCACCACCATTACCACAGATCTGATGGGTGACAATTCCATCCTGTATCTGGGGATGTGAGCCATTTATCCATAGGGCAATATTAGTGGAACATCCACTACTACAGCGCTCTGGCATGCGTATGTTCATCCCATAATAGAGAAGACGATACCAGCCGTTCCACTGAAAGACTTGATCACACACCATATTCCATGATGCATTAGTAGCTCTCCAGGGCTGATCCAGGACTGTATAGTTACTGCATGGGTCATAACCAGGGTTTGCAGTAGTAAGTGCAGCTGTTAAAGACAATGAGGAAAAAGAAATGCATGACTTTAAATGCTTGACTGAGAAAAAGGCATGTTCTCTCTGGAATTCATAGATGTGATTTTTAAAAATATATTTTAGTAATAAAAAACATTTAATTCCTTGATACTCAACAAAAATATCAGGCTTGCTTGTTAGCCACTGACTTACTGCTCATGTGATTCAAGTTATTTACAAGTACTGTATTTTTAACTCAATGCCAGACAATACATAAAATATAAATATAAATATATGACAGATTTTGAAAACATAGAAATATTCAGATAGTCTAATTAGCCAGCGAGCAAACTACCACAGCTAATACTTAGTTCGCTAGCAAATTTTAGTGAGTCAGTTAGCTAACATTATGAAGCTAGCTAGAAAATTTTGAGTGCTGTTTCTACTGTAATTCTGTTCAAATTGTTATTGAAAAACTGATGGAAGGACTGACATAAATAAATATGTTAGTCCTTTGATCAGTTTTTCAATAAATTAATAAATATGTACATAGAACTTTTCTTCAACAGACTCAGCAAATAGGCACCAGAATGAATGAAATATGATCATTAATTAATTAATCATCAAATTTAATTTATTCTGGTGCCTCTGATGCCGCCTGAGTCAGTTGAAAAGTGTTCCAATGCATTTAAATAGTACTGAATTTCATTATTCTTTATTGTACATGTAACAACAACAACAACAACAATAATAATAATAATAATAATAATAATAATAATAAAGTTACATTTATATAGCGCCTTTCACAATCCCAAGGCTACTTTACATAACAAAGGGGGAATGACTAAGAGGAAAAGTGTCAGGCTTGGACATGCAGTGTTATGCCTGTACATGTCAAGAACAAAGACCGCACATAAAGCCTCAAAGTCCACCGCTGGCACTAGCAACATCTATAGGAGGGCAATAAGAAATAGAGTGACGCTTTACTGTCACCAATCACTGCCTTGTTCCTAAAGTACGTTCTTGTAGATATATCAGTGCTTGTATAGATAGAAGGTGGGATGGATTGGTGATATTAAAGTATAGGATAAATTAAAAGGAAAGAAAAAACTAAAATATGTTCCTTATTATAAACTTTTGTTGGCCGATTTTTTAGATAAGTATCAAGTTTTAAATGTTAATTGGACAATGTAGTCAAATAAGTTGAGTTATAGGAAAATAATTGATCATATATATGATGGTGTTATACAGTTTGGTGATTGTAGTAAGAAAGAAAAAGACAATTTATTACACCTGCCGTTATGTAAATTAATTACAGGAAAACAAAAAGATATGTGGTCAGCTGCTTTAGGAAGACTTCCAGAGAGAAACATTTTGAAATTGAGCAGTTAGGGTTAGGGTTAGTAAAAACTACTGAGTGTCCAATGCTGGACTTCTTTGAGAAAGAAACTACTGGTGACTTATTAGTCCCTATTGTTGATTTCTATCAATATGGGAACATTTTCATACAGTTTAAACATAAATATTACCAGGAAAAAAATATTATATATGGTGTTTTAACTTGAATATATTTTGTAATAAAATTTTATTTGGGTATTCTATTGAGAAGATGAAAGACACTTTATGAAAAGAGGCGATGTGGGAGAAAATGAGTGTCCAGTGGAGCAGCTCAGAAGTAACCTAGGCAAGGATTAGATGCGCTCATCAGGTCAGCGATAATGTGCGAATGTCCAGAAGTGGAGGTGAAAGTCCAAGGTAAGCTCATCTATTGTGTTCTTGACACTAGCTCTTAAGTTATTTTATTTAGTCAGAGTCTCTTCCAGAAGTATTTGAAGGAGAAGTAGAAGGAGGTTCAGCAGGCAGAGAGAATACCCTGTAACATACTCAGTGCTTCAAATGGACTCCAAGTTTTGCTGGACTTTGAAGTAGGGGGGTGTAAAAGTGCCCAGTACAGGTGTAGTGATAGTGGATCTTCCCCCAACGTATGGTTTTAGGCATGGATGTGGTTCATCATTGCTGGGAAGGCCTCTGCCAGAAGGGGGAACATTACCTAACTCTCTTTAAATCTACCCTGCCCTAGAAGAGATGACGTGGAGCCAAGTTTTTACAGTCTGCTTGTGTTCAAAGGCTGAGAAAAACAGGAATTACAGCCTAGGAGTTTCAGTGCTATGCATTGAAGCTCCAGTACGACTGGCACCACAGTCAGAGGCGGTAATGTGGGCTGATGTCCCCCAAGCATTAAAGTCAAGTAGAGAACATATTAAATTACTTTTTATTTATTTGGATTCCAAGCTAGACCTACTTTCCACACCTACGAGGGGGATTTGCGTTACATGGAATGAGAAACAGGAAGAAGAGGCTGTTTTAAGTACAATTTGAGCTAAATCGATCTCAGCACATCTGACTAACATCTCATCAGGAATGACAGCCCTTCATCTAAAGCTGTATCATAGCAAGAGAGAGTCGCAAGACACGCCCTGCTGCAGTTTTGTTTTCTCTTTTGAGAATTCCCGTGTCACTCTGTCTGAAAGGGCGGGAAGCAAAATTATTGTAGAGTTTGCTCAGCATGTTTTAAACCTACATCTGTCTCCTGTACAACATCTGAAGAATTAAATCCTTTCTCTTTGAGGAGGACACTCAGATGTTTGTTTAACCCCTTAACACCTCAGGGCTTGATTACTGCAGCTAAGGTCCCTGAAGCTGAACCAGAATCCAAAAACCTGGGTTGTCTTCTCTTTTAACACACATAACTCCACTTTTAAATTAACTACACTGCAAATAGTTGCCTACATTGGATTTAAAATCCATCGTCTTGCCTATAAAGTCAAAAACGAATCACCATCAGCGACACTTGCAGGGTGCAAGTAACACAAGAATCAACACCGTTACCTAAATAAGAGCTATTCACAAAGTGACAGTGGTAGTGATTAGTGCAACAGTGTCTTTTAACACTGCAGTATTTTCTCCGGGGTTTTAGGCAAGAGCCTATCGAAATCCGCATGTAAATGAGGTCATACATATTAAAGTCGCTCCAAGTGAAGCCACTGTTGGCTGCCAGAGTGAACACAATGGAAAAAATGCGAACAAAGAAATGAAGAAAAGCTCAGAAACTGAGAAGGTTTGGCAAATTAAAATGAATTGTTTGATGAAAATGCTTTACCAACTAGCAAAAATGTCTTTTTCACATGTTTAAATTGAATTCCAAAAATGTATCGTAAATAGAAAAATAAAATTTAACATCAAAACTAGTTGCAATAAAATCAATTCAATCATGTAGTTAGAATCTCAACATATCAAATTACTCTTCACTCATTTGGATTCTAAGCTAAACCTACTTTCTATACACAGAAGGGGAATTTGCAGTACGTAGATGCAGGGCGAAAAGTACAATACCAGTTAAACCTGTCAATCTGAAACGTCATAGAGATTTAGAGAGGTGCTTTTTTTTTTTGCAACATTGGATTGCATGAAGTAAAAATGCAGCAATGCCTCACATCACATAAGCGTTAAAACGCTCCGGTAATCCTCATTTATGAATGGACAAACGTGTTACCACCATGCTATTTGCTCTTAACATTACTGTAAATCTGGCAGTGTGTTTTACGGCAGTCTCCAGACATAAACTTCACCCCTGCTCAATCTGGAAACCCCACTGTGTAGCAGGCCCGCCACTCCACCTCTCAGCTGGATGCAGCCGGACAGCCAAACCACTGCCTACCTCCCCAGGCCATCTCCACCTCCACACGGCCACCCTGCCGAGCTCCTTCACAACTCCCACAAGGACAGCCGGACCGCCGCTCCCTGCACCGGAATTGCTGACCCCTCATTTCCCGCCACCGCTGGTTACCGAGCCACGAACCCATCGTCCTCTGCAAAGGCTCGACTTTTATTCACAATTTGAACTGGAACCGCCCTTCTTTTTACAGAGTTGATGGGATTCATCCTAATAGGCTGGGTTCACAGATTTTAGTCCACAATATATTTTACTCTGTTTACAACTCCAGATGACTATTATACACCTGAAACTCAAGTATTTCCGTAGTTTTGGGTAGAAGACCCAGGACCAGCTCTTCATTAAAAAGAAATAACAAAGAAGTGAAAAATATTAATGGTTTTATTAATCCAGAAAATCTGATTTGTATTAATCCAACACCAATTACTTTACACTCATGAGAAAACCCTGCAGTAAATGCTATAACAGATCTTGAGAGTTTTAAAAAAACAGAAAAGGTTTAGGCATAATACATCTTAACATTAGAAGCCTACTTCAGAAGGATGGATCACATGCCAGGTACTGAGGGTTTTTACTAAACTGGAAAAATCTGCTTTTAGTTACAGAGCAGCAGCGAGCTGGAACTCACTACAGGAAACACTACAGCTCAGCTTGCTGGGTCACTCGGCCATTTTAAACTTCTACTCTCTAACCACCTCCACTCTGCCTGCAACTGTTTTACCTGATTTTTTTTACCAGTACTGTCTTATTTTCATTATTTTATTATTTATTTATTAGTTTATTTATTATTATTCATATTCTTATTCTCATTTTAATTATGATTATTTTATTATTTTATTTTTGTCATTTTAATAAATTTGTTGTTTACTTTTTGATCTTGTTCTCCTCTTATTTTATTTTGATTTGATCAATGTCATATTTTGCTAGCTTGGTACATAATAACACCCTTTACAGGTGACGTGTGCTACTGGACTTTACCTCATTATATTAGCAGCAAGTTTATAACTAACAATACTCACATGGTAGACGTCACTTCTATTCCTTACGCAGTTACATATTGGAATTCTCTTGTAAAAAATCCTGATTGGAAATATATTTGGACCTTACCTTCTAAATATCTGTTAACCAATAAAATAAAGGAAGTTTCTTACAAAATTATACATAGATGCTATCCAGTTAACCAATTTCTTGCTAAATTTAAAAAGGATATCATTCTCAATTGTTCTTTCGGTGATGTAAATCCAGAAACTCTTCTACACCTGTTCTGGCACTGCTCCCACACAAAAAAGCTTTGGAAGGATGTATGTAGATTTATCATTATCATGGATTGTATCGACCCTGATTTTAATCTCTCTTTGGATAATGTGTTGTTTGGCTTCAGTCATTATAAAAATAATAAAGTCAAAGAATATTATATTATTAATTTGATCATTCTTTTGGCAAAATTTCATATACATAAATGCAAATTTACTCACTCCAAACCAGATTTTCTCAAATTCGAAATAGAAGCTAAACAATACACAACTTCTATTGCCCTCTCCAAAAACAAAAAGCTGTCAAAACAATGAATCTATGCACCTTATTTAATTTGTTTCTGTAAAAACGTGTTCATTCCCCTGGCTTTCTTTGTTTTTTTTTTTGTTTAAACTTGTTTAAATTTGTTTCCACATTTTTCTTATGCAATTTGTTATCTGACTTATGCAATTATACAATAAACAATTGGGGACTAACAATACTCACATGGGCTGCAATACTTCCTGGTCTGGGAAAAGACCCAAGCTTGGTTTTAGTTGTCCTTAAATAATGCCTGGGCAAATTCAGACATGCTCAGTGTGTTTGAAATGTTTTTTGATCTTGTTCATTCTGTGGGGTTTTTAGCTTATGATTCAAGTATCCATTTATGAACAAGCTTTTCTTGGATTCTGCATTTACTTTATAAGTTATTAGTGATGGTCATTATTGTCTCCCCTTGCAGAGGAGAGGGACTGGGATGTGCTGGTTTGGATAGACCAGTGGGAGTCTATTTAAAGAGCTCACTGAATTTCTATAGAGAGAGGAGATGGTTGGTTGATTGTTGAGCCGATGCATTTTGAGGAAAATTGCTGCTTCCTCGAAGTTCATAAATTTATTATGTAAACAGTGTTTTTTTGTCAACATTGTGGGGTTTTCCACACCTTTCAATACACACCCTTGTACTGAATGTGCTTTTGTGGTTGGCCACAGCTCTTTTTTACAACCCACAACCTTGTCAGAGCATATCTACTCTCACCTGCAAGCAAAGTGTAACAATTATCTGTTCATTTCTTGATGAATAAAAAAAGAATAAATTAAATAGTGTCATTACCTGTTTGTGCTTTTGTCAGACCACCTGTGAAGTGTTAAAGAGAAAGGAAACAAACATTTAGCAAGCGGGAGAAAGATTTCCAGTTGACTGAGCCAATTGTGGAAAAAGGCAGTTATAGAACATACTTATCATTAATACGATCGCCACTATCTTCAGAGACAGCACAGGCATTTGAACTGAACCCTCCATTGTCACACTGACATCAATACTTCAGATAACAAGTAAAATATTCAAATCTGCAATAGAAACTAACACAAATCTTACTGTAGATTTGTACCAGTATCTACGCTGTTTTCATCATCATAATACAATTAAACAAACTGCAGATCACGAACCTCAGACAGAAGACCATGCTCCATATTCTTCAGGTAAGATCACTGAAACAGATTTCCTGTTATCACGTTTAAATATGTTCAACCACCCAAACCTGCTTTTCACAAAGCTGATGATGGAAAAATGATTTCCTTGTAGTGTGCATGTAATTTAATTATTTCATGAGGTTGAGGCAGATTGAAGTTTTATTTAAAACAAAGGTTGTAACCAGAAAATATGTTATGTGTTAACCAATGTAGCCCCTTGTGCACCATTATTAGTTATTATAGCCAAAGGTTATTCTGAGAATCAATAGAGCTGCACTGCATTCCAAGAGGACTGCAGTATAGCTTTTCACCCTGTCCCAGCATACCTGTCGAAAGAGATGTGATGTTCAAATACCAACCATGCCTGTTTCTAGCAAAAGCAGAAGTAACTTCAAGAGCAATGACATTTGCATGTCGCACAAAAACTTGTATCTCCACTTTTGTTTTACCTTTCTGCATAAGTGCAGTTACCCTTTTAATTATGTTGAAATGATGAACGGACAAATAAAATGGTCCAAAATTACTTAGGGAAAAAAAAACTTCTTACATCAACTACCATTATAAGTTTTTTTTTTTTTTCTCCTGTAAAGTTACAATTTTGGAGATACAAGGTTCTGACAGATATGATATTGATGAAGTATAGAGTCTGCATAAAGTCACACTGATGGATAAACATCTTAATAGCTTAAATAAATAAAAAACAGTCAACATGGCCTGGTTCGGAGGAGCAGTGCTCAGTAGAATAGCGCTTCTCAACCTTTTTGAACTGTAACCATCCAAAGATGTCTTTTGGGGTTCTCCACTCATCTCTAAACACACCACAGCTCTTCAAATCTCTTCACATTCTGTGGACTTTAACTCTGAAAGGGTTGTAAACTGCTCTGCAGTCTGCTTCTGGTGTAAACAATTGCTACATTACTAGCTGCAAGGCACAAGGCGAGAACTTTGTCACACAAGATGACTGCCAAACGCATGGAAGACAATGAAAAAAAGGAATTTGGAGACATCAGATACTTCATTCTAAACTCGTTCTGAATGAAACAACATGTCTGCTTTTTTGTGTATGTTTTGTAGCACTGTTAGTTAATTATGCACTTGTTATACACAAGTTATAAGTTAGTAAAGATAGCTATTTAAGCATGGCTGCAGTGACTGGAGTAGCACACAAAAGTTACACCAGGTCTTTATTTATTTTTTTTTTATTATGAACAGCAAATATATTGTACAAGAGACAGACAAGTATGTTAAGACAAGACAAGCCACAAAGAAAAAACACACTCAAAAGGAAAGGAAAAAAAAATAAAAATTCTTCCCATACCAGACAAACAGTACATAAGGCAAACTAACAAAGACGAGACAGACCAAACAAAGAAAAAAAAGGAGGTGTAGTTATAATAATAATAATAATAATAATAATAATAATGACAGACAGGCAGTATACAAAGTAAATAAAGTGGTAAGATATATGTATACACATATACACACACACACATTCAACATCTTTGTACATAAAATACAATAGTCTATTACATCAATAATAAGTTGGCAATATTGCTTTGCTGTGCAGAAGAAAGGGAGAGCCAGGGTGCCCCCAGGGACCCCCCACCAACCTTTATCTGTCCCCTCCGTACTCTTCGTCTCTCTCGCCCACCCCCCCAGCCCCAACCTGCTTCCCGGCACAGGCTGAACATCGCAACAGAGCCACTTTGCACAAGATTCCTTTGAAGTGCCCATGTGGCCTTACTGAGATGGCCACTACGCACAGGATTCCTTTGTTCTGTGTTTGTCAGTGAAAGCTGCTGATTTTGCTCTCTCTGAAGAGGCAACAGAGCTCTGCCGTAACGGGAGGGGGGCGGATGGTGGTAATGGTGGTCCAGGAAGGCAGTAGGGCAGAGCAGACAAACAGGTCTGGAGGGGAAACCCCCTAAGGACCCCACAGCATCCCACGCCCGTGCACAGCAGCACACACTGATGGTGTGTTGCATTATACAAGATGTCCTTATAAAATATGTGTATATATGTATATACATACATATGCATATATGCATACATTACACACTCTCAAATATGTAAAGGGGGGGAAGAAATATCGGGGTACTACTACTCATGTCATGTTACATAGTTTTAGTAAGTTTGAAAAGTTTAGAATAAATGCAACTATTTTGTTGTGGATTGCAGCTGATGCTTGTTCACAAGATAGGTGTTCTGATAATAGATTAGTCCACTGTGTTACAGAAATATGTTTTTTGTTTTTCCAATTTAGCAGTATTTTTTTTTTTTGCTATAGTTAATGCTGTAAGTAATGGGACTGTATCTTTGACTGATGATTCTGCTTCTGAGAGGTCTCCTAGGAGGCAGAGGGAGGGTGACATTGAACTGCTGCTCCCCAAATATAGAGATAATTTTGAGGTTATATTTTCCCAAAAACGGTGGACTGGTGTGCAAATCCAGAATGCATGAAAATAGTCGTCTGTTTTGTTAGTTATACATTGTGTACGAATGCTTGAATCGCTGAATCCCAATTTAAACAATTTGTATTGCGTAATGTGTGTCCTAATAATTTTATACTGAATTAATTGTATGTTTGTGTTTTTACTCATAATGAAGATATTATTACAGATTTGTGTCCAGAATTGTGTGTCCTTTTTCCATTTATTAATTGGTATTGATATGGTTAAATTTAAAGTACCTATGAGAGCATATAACTTTGATAAAACTTTCTTCGGGCTGATGATTTTGTTTAAATTTTCAGTAATGGGGGGTGGACTGAGACTGTTGTGAAAAATATTCATTTTGGTTTTAAGTATACTTTTTAACTGATAATGTTTTAAATATTGATTTTCCTCTAAGTCAAATGTTTCAGTTAGTTCTTGAAAGCTTTTAAATGTGTTATTCATAAAGAAGTGTTTTAAATGTGTTATGCCTTTGTCTTTCCACTTCACCAGGTCTTTAAAAATTTAGCTTATGTTCAGTTGGTGCATCAATCTTAAAATTTTCCCTAAAAAGTTACAACCGAGCAGGCGTAAGCTCTGTTGGTGCAAGCAGCACAATATTGCTCAGTGTTGGAGATATCTTGCTTTGACCCTGGTTAAGGTTGCTTGCAGCTGTGTTGCTGTAAATTAAGCAAACAACAATAAATTACACTCCAAATACCTTTTTGGACCCTCTGTTTCAAAGCGACTTACTTTTAACAGCATGAATGGATTAGCTTATTCATGCTACAGATCTTTCAGAAGACGTTATCTTAGATGTTGACTTAGTTATCTTAGTCCATCTATGCTTAACAGAAGAAAGCTCTTTCTTTCATCTAATTACAAGCACATGTACGTGGAGTTTGCTACACGCTGCTAGAACTTTAACCGGAACCAGCTTCTATGGTCAGGTCAAAACTAGAAAATAAACACTGAAAGTGACTTTGATGTAAATAGAAGAATGATTATACAGAAAATAATCTAATCTCCATTATAAATCAGGGGAGTACAGAAAATCCCTACTTAATCCCTGGTAAAAAATACTTTAGTTGTAGTTGAGTATTTGAGTTACGTTTTCTGCAATTATAGTTTTAAAAGTATTTTTTTGAGTTGACTCAGCTACATTATTGGAAATAATATGCATAAACAAAACTAGCTATGATATTATGTGGGGGAAAAGTTCTGAGTCCTGAGACTCAGATCACAGTGTGCTCTGCTAATGCACATTTACACATCTTTATGTGAACTGAGTAAGGAACAAGGTTTACATTAAACTACATGCATTTCATGGTGAGATGGTTATATAAGACTTAGTTTATCAGTTTCCAAGAAAGTGGTGTAGAATCCATGAAAGGCTGTGCAGACTTTGTTACTGTTTAATTAAGTCTATATTAAAAATGTGATTAAAAGTCAGAATTAAAGATAAATTACTTATTTAATAATGCCATTTTTAGTGTTTCATTAGCTCCCTGAATGTTAGCTTAAATTAATAGGTGTGGACCTCTACAGACAGTAAACATTATATTCACAGCCTTTAAACTGTATAAGTTAACTAATACATTCAATATGTTTTTGATACAGCTAATGCGTAATACATTTCTACCATTACAATCATTAGCAACAACAGCAGCTTATACCGTTTTGATTTTTTTCACTGTGACATATTTCTCTGGTAATCATATTAATCACTTATTACACAATCACTAATTTATTTTCACTGAAATTTATTTGATAGTAAAGTTAAACCATCCTTTCACACAGTTAACGACACAAACACAAAGGAATAGAGAGAGAAAGAGAAGAGCCGGCCTCAGTTCTTGAGAACAAATTTCATCTTAAAACACACACAATTTTCACATAGATTCTGACATTCACTAATATTTGTTATGTGGAAATTGATCTTAGCTAAGAACAGAATCTACACACTCAAGAGCAATGTCTGCCACTCCTCCTGCTGAACCTATTCCACACAGTCATTTGACTTAATTTTCTCCAGAAACTCAATCTCCCAGAATTCCCTGGGGGATCATATGACCATCACACCACCACCATCAGCCAATTATTGTTCATCATCACCTGAATACTGATATGCCTCACCTGTTTCTTGTTATCATTGTTTGGTATAGTTAATATATAAGCCTGAGCTTTAGCTTAGCTTGTTATGAGGTACTGCTTCTTTCTTAGAGCTACTGAGTGTTTCTTCCTGCGATTATTGTTTACTTGTGTATCAGACTCTATTTTGCATCTTTGACTTTGCCTTTTTGCCCAGCCCCTTTAGGGATCAGATTTGCCTTTCTTCTTATGGTTATGTTTGTCCCTTTTCATTTTTGGACGATTCTAGGTTTGACCTTTGCCTATTTCATGACCATGAGTATTGATCACATCCAAAACAGTAAAGCCTCAATTCCTGACTTTACTTGTGAGCGTCTGGGCAGTTCTGTTTCATTATCAGCACAAAGATGCAAACAATTCTGACGTTTAAGAACACATCATGAATCTGACGTGGACTTTTTTAAGGACCTTTCTCACGAACAAACTTAAGAAAGAAG